AAATATGAACTTTTCTTCGTCTTTGACTTTTATATGCATGTAAAATAATCATTTACATAGCTTAACAATTCTAAAAATTTAATTGAATATTAAAAAAAATAATAGACTAACTCTTTCAATTAAACGACAATATACTTAGTGACATTGAGGAAATCAAGAGACTTTCGTTTAACTCTTGAATTATATTAAGAGAACTAATAAGAAAATGAGCATGCCTTTCTTATTTTTTTTCTGTGGTGTTTTCTTTCCATTTTGTTAGTTATCTTACGTGATATTATTGAGGAAAATTTTCTCATCTATACGCCAGTTGACTTTTGTTTGAATCAGTATGCGCAACAACTCATCATCATTGTGTCATACACGCACAAACATATTGATCATTAAGACGACAATGTTGGTAACGACAGGGAAAAAGCAAGAAGGAAAGATGCTCGTGTGACGGAAATCTTCTAAGCACACGCATTCCAATATTTGTCTCTACACGGATGGAACGAGAAAAAGTAATCTTAGTATTTGCATGATTAAAGAGAGCGCTAGAAATGAAGGCAATACTAAAGACGACTAATCCGATCAGCAGGAAATTAGTAAGTGAGGAACAAATAGAGCAAAAGAAAAGAGCATAACAAACGGTCAGTTCATTACATAAATAAATCTGTCATCATACACAATATACACAAAAAACTGTAAGTTCATTGTTATTTTTTTTACATTGCAAAAAAACATAAGTTCAAATATAAGTAAGACACAAGAGAAAAGTTAACTGTTGGTACCAAATTTAGGATCCCATTTTTTGAGTAAAGCATTTTCGTCGATAACTTTTAAAATATCTGGTGCATCGAATAAAATTTTTAATGTACCAGCAGCAGTGACAGAAAAGAAAATAAATAACTGTAATCGATCGATGACAGATGCAATATATTTCCAATCATCTCGAATCTAAAACAAAAAGGAAAGAGATTCCAAATAATATTAATGATTCTTTCATAAGAATACCCCTTCATAATGACAAGCTGATCGCATATGATTTGCAATAAAACTTAAATCTTCTGCTGCTTCATATGCTTCCTTTGTTAATAAAATATCAACTTCTTGCGGTGTTAAATTATTTTCATCCTCATCAGTAGTTGTTGATGATTGATTAATATTTTGTTGCGGTTCTGATTGTTGGTGACGTCGTTTTGATGAATGTCGATAATGATGATGATGATGATGTTTCTTTTTTGATAAATGACGTTGTTTTAATTCTAACTGTTGATCAGGATGATTTTTTGGATTTGTATGATGATTATTGATCATATTTGGTGATGCTATTGATAATGCACGTGATGCTTGAATATAATTTAACATTGTTAGTTTTTCTCTATCAGCTTCTGCTGATTGTAAACTATCATCAATTTCATATTTTTTTGGTCTTTCCATACGAAGTATACGCGGTAATATATCAATACAAACACGTCTTATCCAATAAGGCATTTTATGTGTACGTGGTGTACGATAATTATAATTAATAATAACAACTGTAAAAAATATGGTTATTATATTCATAATAAATGTGAATAAAAGATATTTAGCTATTAATGGTATAACAATAGATGTTGGTGGTAAAATTTTTGATATAAGTAATAGAAACACAACAAGTGCAAGTAAAATTGAAATTGACAATGTCATTTTTTCACCAGCATCTGTAGGTAAATAAAAAACGAATACTGATAGAAATGAAATAAGCACCTAAAAAGAAAGTTAAAAATAAAAAAAAATTAATAAATCTTAATAATTTTAATGAAATAATTTACCGTTGGTATGATTAAATTGACTGTATAAAAAAGTGTTTTACGTTTGATTATAAGCGTACATACAAATTCAACACGATCACGTCCATCACTTTTTTCAAATCTGGCATTTATTATAGTTCCCACTGAATTACTTGTATCATTACCCTCATTTACAGGTGGTGAATATGATGATTGTTGAATAGTCATAGGACCATCAAGAAGAGCCCATGAACCACTAACAACATAGTCTTTTATTGTAACATGTCGTATTTTTTCTTCATAATAAGTAAAATTTAATTGTCGTTGATCATATGTCCATGAACCAAAACGTAATTCGCATATTTGTTTATCTAAGAAGATAAAAAATAAATTATCTAGTTACTTTGTTTTTGTTTCTTTTTACCAAACGGAAAAAATTTTACATCAATATAACAACTTGATTTATATATAGCTGGCGGTACCCAATTCACATAACCATTATAATAAATAACAACATTAGATTTAAATGATACTTCATATTTTCCATCGGCATTATTAAATAAAACAATCTAAATATTTAATGTTTTTTTTTTGTGTGTGAAAAATTATTAATAAATATTCGTGAAACTTACATCAGGTGTCCAAACTTGACTTGGTGGTGCACGTATTGAACTAATACCACCATATTTTTCTCGTTTCCATTGCATTTGATAATCGTACCATCCCTTAAAAAAAAAAGAGAAAGAATAATATAAATGTCACATTGTTTCATTCAATTCATTTTCGTTATACATACTACTTGTAACCAAACATTTGTTTTAAGTACTTGTTCTTTTTCAACTACACTTATTAATTGTAATAAAGCTATACTAAATGATACAGTTATAGTTTCTTCAACATTTCGTACAGGACGAATTAATGGATTATAATTTTGAAATAATTCTTTAAATAATTGTTCTTCATGATATGAACTATTAACTAGAAATTTAATATAAGAAAAAAATTGAAAAATTAAATTTACATGTTAATATTATCGTAAAAAAATATCTTACTGTCTTTGATCAAGACTAGTATATTGAATAAAATGAATAGTAGACAATATGAAAACAACATTGACACAACGATGACAAATAGATATAATCGATATTTATCACTAGAAAAAATAATGACTTTGTATGTGAAATATCGAATGGATGCAAGTTTTGTTTTTCTTTTACAAAAAAAAAAACTATATATCTATATATCTATATATATTTATATAAGATTGATATAAAAAAGTTCTAATCGAATGTAAATGAATCGTAGATTTCTAAAAGCAAACTATAGAAACGACGAAAGAATAAAAGAAGCCTTGTTTAGTTAGAGACCAAAGAAGAGAGATAGAGACAATGAGAATCGAGAATAGCAAAGAGAAAAGGACTCTAGTCGAAATAATGTCATCAGTGTTATTCTTATTCTGCTTCTCTTCCTGCTGTTGCCATTTCTCAATAGACATAGAAGAGAAGAGAGAAAGAAGAGAAGATGCTACAAACAGAAAGACCTGAAAGTTTTATCCCGAGGCCATTTGATAGCACTAGTTGATTTTTTGTTGAATAGAAGCTACGCATTTATGTATACATACTAATCGATTAGAAAAAGAACAGACAAAAAAAAAAGAAATCTGTTTTCAAGGTAAGAATGTTTCTTCATCTGTGACAAATTATATTAACATCTGTTTCTTAATAATCATTGAATATTTTAAGAGAGATAAATGGAAAAAAAAGTATTCGATTCGAACTATTAAGAATCTAAAGAGAGGACAGGTTATTTTCTATGACTACATCAAATACAAAAAAAAAAAGAATAAGATCGATTTTATTCGATCCGATTCCGATCATCTATTCTTCCGTTTAACCACGAATGAAATTCATTCGTCTCGTTTCTAATATCGTTATAAGATAAGTATGTATGAATAGTTAACGAATATATATATATTATTCACTTCAATAGTTCGCACACAAACGATTATTATCAATAGAAAACATGAATAAGAGAGGATAGACAAAAAAAAAATTTTTGTCACATCTTACTTCACACAGTTAGAATCTAACGGATTGCAATATATATATCAATATACTTCGAGTAATATCTCATGCATCGTTTTATCATCAGATCTCTAATACAAAAAAAGAAAGACCAAGTGAGTGGAAAAAATTTGTGCACATAAGCAAATGATCCTAATGGGCAAATACAAACATTAGTCGTAACAGCAAGAATCTAATTGGCTTCGATAATAGCAACAATCAGCATCCGCCGCTTCTTTTACTAAAATATAATTATCTTTGTATTGCGACTACGATTGTTCATATTTTCTTATGTATATCAACGGGTAGTCTAATTTGTATATTGTACATATATATACTGTAACATACAACAAGATTATTTCATGCAATTGTCCAATTTGCACGCGTCATCTCCTTTGTCTTGTCTCGCTTTTTTTTTCCTTTTCGCAATCAAGCACAGAAGGATGAGGAAAAAACATATTCTTTCTTTATTCGGTTTTTTTTTTGTTTCTTACACCAAGTGTTTTTTATCTATATTGACTATGCCATTAGTAGAGACATATTACGCATGCTATACTTATATATATACATAGGATTTTGTTCTAAGTTAACTGATACAATATTAAAAGTCTTGTTTCTGATATAGTCATATACATATATTCAGCTATGATGAAATCTTTTCTCTGTACAGATATAAACGTCTTTCTTCTCATAAAAACACAGATTCAATATATTTATTATTCTGTGTGTATGTTTCTGGCATTGAGACAATGATGATGAAAGATTTTTCTTATCATTCTAAGGAACGATAAGAGAGAGAAAGAGAGAGAGAGAGAGAGAGAATAAGAAACTGGAACAACGATAGGAAAAAATTCTGATCTAAGTCAAAACATATGTTGTCTTAAACAAGCACAATATAGCCAAAAAAAGAGAATAAAGAAGAAAAGCATAAATTAACAAAGTGATGTGTTTATTCACTCATATAATATACGCGTGTCGGCAATGGTACTCAACTATCATCATTGCCACATTATCAGAAGACATAGAAATGAGAGTAACATAAGATAGAATATAGTAGTTGTTCATCATCAATAGTAACAAAACAAAACAAAGAAATAATCAAAATTTTTCATTTTGTTTTTTTACCATTAATCAATAGATCATATAATAAAACAAAACAAAACAAAAAAGAAATTCGGCTCGATGCATGGAGACAAGTATTATCATATCATTAATATTCCATATTTATTGGTGCTTCATTGGTGGTAAGTTTTAAATATATATTAATTGCTTATCTCATTGGTATAAAATAGTTACTATTGCTAATCCTGATGCAAAACGTTTATACGAAGAATTAATTCAAGTACGTGCCTATAATAAACTAATTCGTCCAGTTAAACATAATAGTGAAAAATTAACTGTTTATTTGGGACTTCGATTAACACAATTACTTGATGTGGTATGATCATTTTTATTTTTTGATATTAAAATCAGAGAATAATTGTTCGTTTTTTTGTTTTAAAGGACGAAAAAAATCAAATAATGACAACAAATGTTTGGCTTAAACAGGTAATATCATGAAGTCTATTAGTTAGTATCATAAATATAAGATAGAATCCCAGAGTAAAATATACAAAAAAAAACGAACAAAAACAAAGGAGTGCATGCCTAAGTAGGAGTGGTACGACGATAAACTTCGATGGGATCCAACCAAATATGGAGGCGTCGATGTACTCTACATTCCGAGCCAACAAATCTGGCTTCCTGACATTGTTTTGTACAACAAGTAATCATCTTTATGTTGTGATTGGATGTTGTTATTCGTATTGTTGCACTATATTCTTTACATATTCTTTGTTTTTTTACAAAACACAATCACTTCATATAGAAAAATATTTGTTTATTATTATTTTACCTTCTATTGTTTCTTTTTTCTTTTATAATTTTTTTTTTAATCACATAACCCTTCTAATACACATATATATATCTATACATTTATTCACATAGTATCATTATTATCGTAATTGACACAATGGCAATGAAGTGTCGACATGGGAAAATATAACAAAATCTATTATGTTGTTTTTTTTTATTTCGTTGCTTGTCATTCTCTTGATTCTTATGCACGCTTAGGTACACGCGTGCTATATTTTATGTATAAGATGATAGACGGATTTCTTTTTTGCACGCATGCGTTCCATGAGAGTTTGTTGTTCTGTCCATCAACGCTTCTGATAGTTATGGATAAACATTGTTGACAAGAATAGATTATCCATACGACATGCAAGCGTTGAAAACACACACACATCCGTCAAGAGACTTGACATCAATAGACAGATTCTGTTACTAAACTTGCAAAATAGTTAATTATGATGATATATATATATATAAATGAAAACAAAACAAAAGAACAAAGTTACCTAATAAACTAATCATTTTTAGTTTTGGATTGATGAACATTTAAAATGGGATCCGATGAATTTCAATAATATCACCAACATCTCTATTCCGGCTAATGAACTATGGCGACCGGATTTGGTGCTTTTTAATAAGTTGGTGTCATTTTCTTTTCGTAGTAATCCGTGTTTTTTATTTCTCTATTGCATCTGATTATATGCACATTTGCATGTGATAACAGAGATTTTTTTGTTTTGCTTGGAAAAGAATTTCAATTAACACAAAAAACAAACAAAAAAATAATAATCATTGTTAATATTAAAATGTTTTAGTGCTGATGGTAATTATGAAGTAACATTAATGACAAAAGCTACTGTCTATTATGATGGTCGCGTTATTTGGGAGGTGACATTGAAAACTTTTGTTTTGTTTTGTTTTGATTATTTATTTATTTTTCTTTTGTTTAATATTAGCCACCAGCAATATACAAATCGAGTTGTACGATCAATGTTGAATTTTTTCCATTTGGTTAGTAGAAATTTTTACGGCATGAAAATGATACTTGTCTAATGATCATATGGGAATGAAATTGAATAAGAAGAAAATAAAAACAGAAAACCTTATCTTATTTATATAGGATCAGAAGTAGAAGCTTTCAGTCTTATGAGACTGAAACTAAATTATATTATATCTGAAGAGCGAATCCAAATATTTTTTATGATAAAATTAGAAAGATTTCTTATTCTTGTTGTTTATTTTCGTCTATTCAGATATTCAACATTGTCAAATGAAATTCGGTTCATGGACATATTCAGGTGAACAAGTTGATCTTGTTCATATTAATCAAACAAATGGTTCAATACCTGTTTATGGCAATAATAGTAAGAATATTTAGTTTGACAAATATATTTATCTAATTTCTTTGATTTTTCTTAATATCTAAAGAGTCGATTCATAATTTTGATTTCTTGACAGGTGTACCATATGCAATTGATTTAACTGATTTTTATCGTTCAGTTGAATGGGATATAATGGAAGTTCCAGCTAAACGTAATGTACAAAAATATACATGTTGTCCTCAAACATATCCTGATATAACATTTTTAATAACACTTCGTCGTAAAACACTTTTTTATACTGTTAATTTAATAATCCCATGTGTTGGTATATCATTTTTAACTGTTCTTACATTTTATTTACCATCGGATTCTGGTGAAAAAGTGGCACTTTGTATATCAATATTACTGTCATTAACTGTATTTTTTTTACTGTTAGCTGAACTCATTCCACCAACATCACTTGTTGTACCATTAATTGGTAAATATCTTTTATTTACAATGATTCTTGTTACATTATCTATTGTTGTAACTGTTGTTGTACTTAATATACATTTTCGTTCACCCTCAACACATCGAATGCCTCCATGGGTACGACGAGTTTTTTTACATGTTTTACCAAAATTATTATGGATGCGTCGACCAAAACCAATAAATCCATCAAATTATCATTTATCAGCAATAAGTCATAATCGTATTAAACAGTCAAATCGTACAACAACAACAGCAAGAAATTTTGTTTTACCATTACGTAATTCAAGTCCATATCAAATACGTAAAAATAAGATGCGTTTACTTGATGATTATGATTTTGATCAAGATGGTATTGAAATAATTAATGATGATGATGATGACGATGATAATAATAATCAGAATAATAATATTAATACTGATGAAAGAAAACCAGCTGAATATTCAAGTGAACCATCACTTTATCCACAAGAAATAAAGAAAGCATTTGATGGTTTAAAATGTATTGCAACACATATGAAAATGGAAGACGAAGAAAAAAAAGTAGAAATATTAATAAATGAAAAAAAAAATTTTATTTCGATTATTTTATTTTTGTTTATTTAGATTAAAGAAGAATGGAAATATGTTGCATTAGTAATCGATCGTCTTTTTCTTTATATATTTACAACAGCTTGTGTTGCTGGTACATGTGGAATAATTTTACAAGGTAGAAAAATACCTTCCTCCCACCCCCCCAAAAAAAAACAAAGATTTTAATTTTAATTTTTAATTGTTTTCTAGCACCATCAATTTATGATTATCGTAAACCAATTGATGTTATGAAATCGAATCGTTTTTAAACAAAAAAATAAACTTTTTTTTCCTTTTCTTTTGCTGTATTATTTAATGTATAAAATAAAATGATAAAGTTGTCATTTATATAATGATATAGTCGAATTTTGAAACAAAGAAAAGAAAAATGTATAAAAATTATTGAATACGATTTTTTTTTAATTGAACTTTTAATCGTTTCAAACCAATTTGAAAACCATTCATTTGTTTTATTGCTTGATGAGCTGAATAGATATTATCATATGAAACAAAACCAAAACATTTACTTCGACTTGTTAATTTATCAATAAAGATCTTTTGAGAGAAAAACGAAATATATCGAAGTTTTATTTTTTCATTAATAATTTGTATTTAAATAATTAAATTACTTTAGCTGATAGAATATTACCAAATGGAGAAAATGTTTGTGCTAAATCATGATCAGTAAATTCCGATGGAAGATGATAAATGAAACTTCATATAGATTTTTTTTCTTTTTTTTGTTTTTGTAATAAATAAATTTCTTCTATATACTTACAGATTAGAACCTAATGGTCCAATTAATTGTTTTTCATCATTCGAAGAATTATTATTATTTTGTTGTTGATCTTTTAAATTAATCAATGATGGAAAATTATCATGATTTGTAAATGAAAGATTAGGATTATTTAATATTCCGTTTGTTGTTGGTGATAAGAAACCATCCAATAGACGAAGGTCATCATCTGTTGGATTAGGCCATATACATGGATTTATCTCTGTATTGAGAAGCAAGTTAGGTGGTGTTGAAAGAACATCTAGAATAGAAACAGATGAAAATTAGAGATAAGAGTTAATATCTTTTTCGAAGCTATTATTCATCTCTCATAGTCTACTGCAAGCTTTTTCTTTGTTTAACTGTTTCTCGACAGAATTCTTTTTCTTTGTAAAGCAAAATAATGAAACATAGAATTATTTCAAGTGAGTTAATTTTCATTTCTAATCAGTGCTATTTATCTTTCAAAAACTCGTTATATCATTCGAACTTAATCATAGAGTAACGTCAGTTAGATCAATAATAAATAGTACGTATCGATCTATTTGAATTGTTTTACAATGGAAAATACCTATGTGTTTTTCATCCCGAAAGGATTAATTTTTAATAGCAAATATCAATGAACGATTAGTTTAATCGAATCTTTGAGAAAATGCATTATTACACAAGAACGCAAGAATTATAGAATATACTAATGTAAGAAGCTCATAGACTTTGTGTATTAAATTAGAAAAATATTCAGAATTCATACCTTTACTGTTATTTATATGTTGTTGCTGTTGTATACTTTGATCTCCACCATACAATAAAGATGTACCTGTGATAACTTCATTATTTTCAACAGTAGTCTCGTTAATAGCAGAAATTAGATTGTTCAACATATGTGGACAATGTCCGATAGTTCCGATAGTTTGCCACTATAAATAGAAGGATAGTTCATATCTTTATAAGTTTCATAACAGTACTTCAGTAAGCAACGATGAAATTGATGGAGATGCACTATTTTGTTGAGTATTAGTTAATTTCGATGCTAAGTTATTCGAATTTGAAGATAGATTATTTGTATTATTATCACCACAAGATAAATCATTATTATTTGAATAAGAAGATGGCTGTTTTTGTTCATCAGAACGTGTAACTGCATTTGAATAAAGTTGATTAAAAAGCATTAAATTTAATGAAGTTAAATTTTCATTTGTTTTATTTGTTATCGGTGATGCATTTGTTGCTATTTGTTGAAGAAGATTATCATTAAGTTTTTGTTGCATTTTTCTAACTTCTTTATCTTTAGGTGTATCAGTAAAACGAACATTTATTGGGGACGAACAACCATCCATTGTATGTGAATGATGCATGGTTTTAATTGCATTTAAAGCTGATTGTCGCTTTTGATATGTTACAAATGCACAACCACGTGAACGATTATTTAAATCACGAAGTACTGTAGTTTAAAAAAACAAACAAACAACATTCAATAACACGCGATGCAAAAGTCTTGGCAAAAAAAGGTCCAACTCTGTTAGACCATATTGCTGACTTCTAAGCCAATGAAATTTTGTTTTTGTTTTTGTTAGAAGAGTAATGTCTCACGTACCGATTCGATCGCAACGATGTTCTTGTGATTAGCACTAGTGAATAATAGAAAAGTCTAGAATGATTTGGACTTCTGAGCCTTTGTTTTTTAGATCTCGCAATTTTACTAGACTTAACAACAAAGAGTTGTGCTTCCTCTCAGACCAAGTGAAAAAAACGACTTTCGATTTCAAGCTTTGCATAAATCAAGTTTTCAATGAGATTAGTTCATTTTACAAGTTGTAACTTTTTCAGCATCTCCTATCATGAGATATTCAATATCCGAAATTCTTTTATGCGTAAATGTAAACTTTGTACACATCTTCAGAAGAAAAATACTAGAAACGACAAAAGTTGCACAATGAATTTATCTCATTGAGAACTTTGTTCGTGTAAAATTTGAAATCAAAACTGGAAAGTTGATTTTTCACGTGACTTTTGGAAGCTCTAGCTTTTTACCGAAAACCAAACCATTCTAGATTATTCTATTAAACAGTAATACCTATCAAATGAGGATCGTCTCGGTCGAAAAGCTATTTGAGATCTGGAGAGATTCGCTCGTTAGTTTTTATATATATGACATATTTCGAATATATAATGCGCACAGAATTCAGCCCATGCATGGTTTCTGGATATTGTGGTTGATGTCCTTCTTAAGTGATCACTCTTACCAAAGCCTCTATTTTACAAAAAGCGTCAATTTTCCAATTTTTTTCCAAAAAACAAAGATTCAAAAGCAGATCTAAAAGTTTTACTAAAGTTGATGTTGATAGAGCTTTTGATGCGCCTCATTTCGGTGTATTCTTGTTTTGTTTGAATTTGGTTCATGTAGCTGAGCTATAGAAACTTTTCTAGAGTTATTCCGTTTTTGGCTTTTCCTGCTTCATTGACTTGTTCTAGAAAATTATGTCCAGCACAAAATTTGTAGTTCCGATTTTACTCTTTCTAACAAAAAATAAATCATTGTTTTAGAAGTTGATAATATGGTCAAATAGAGTCAGACATTTTCTTCTACTAAGACTTTTGCATCATATGCTATTTATTTTATTTGATAATTAAATACAATAAATAAATAAAATATATATCATAAATCACCCACCTACCGGTACATTCTTCAATGATACCAAATGGTATAAATATTTGTTTGATTTCATCTTCATTACATGATTTTGATATCATACCAATAAAAATTTTTCTTTCATTACGATTTTCAATATCAGCTGGTTTCATTTGTATAGCATGATGCATACCAGGTAACGTTTTTAAATTATGTAAAGCATTTTGTGCATTAAGTGCAGCTTTCCGTGTATAATATGTTACAAAACAACAACCTTTTGATTCACCACTTTGTTTATCACGTAAAATATTTAATTTATAAATTCGTCCATAACGTTCAAATAATATTCGTAATTCATTTTCAGACATTGTACGAGGTATTTGACCACAAAACATTTCAATAGCATCTGAATCAGGTTCATTACGATCAGTAATTAATGATTGATATGGTGTCATGACATCTATATATTTGAAATATTGATCATAATTTTTGTTAAACAAATGAAATATTTTTCATTACCAAGCATGATTAAGAATTAATTAGATAGATTGCAATTCAATCGAACAGAAACACTAAAAGACAATAAACACAGAAGAGTAGCAAATTAAGCTACTAAAATAATATTTCTGATTTAGACAACGAAAGGAAGAAGTGGAAAGAGAAATATGTCAGAGCGCCCAATTTATATAAAAACAAAAAAGAAATATTACTTGATTAGATTTTAAAAGACTTAATTTTTATACTTCAATATATTTAACCAAGAGTGATATATCTTAAAAAGTAAGTATCAAGTGTACAGAAATCTTAAGTAGGATGTTGCTTTTGCCATATGAAAATTTTTCGATGCAAAATATTCACTAATAACTACGTCACCATTAAATAAAGTAAAGTAAACGACAAGCAGTAAATTATTCTTTCAACTGAAGGCAGAATCACATGGAATAAAATGAGTTGGGTGTGGGTATTGAGATGTGAGACGAATGTAGAGCCCGCCGGATCCGATCCGGACCCACACCCGAATCTGACCGGGGTAGGGTCCGGGTCTGGAAATTTTTTATAAAGAGGGTCCGAGTCTAAAGCAATTTTTGATGCATATGAGAATATTTTTCGAAGTTTTACTGATCTCCAGTTTTCTCTGAAGAGCTAGTTGCTTGCTTTTGGTTGTTAGTGTTAAAAATAAATTGTTTGTGTTCAATAGAACACGTTGCTTTGGTCTCAGACACAGACGAGATTAGGTCTGGGTAAAATTCGGCTCCAAAATTTTTCTATTTACCGTGTCCGGTTCTGAATTTTGTTTTTAAAGACCGGTTACGGGTTCAAGAAAAGTTCAACAAAGCAGGGCCGGGTCCAAAAATGTTGTACCCGACGGGCTCTAGACGAATATCGATGTGGTTTACGTGTGGGTATGAGTTTCGGTGTGAAATCTACCTGATTGAGTGGCGTATGTGTAGGCTTTGGGTGTTGTTGTGGAGATATGGGTTGTGGGTGTGGGGTTTACGTGTTTGCATACCTGTATGGGTGTGTTAGTATGGTTAGCGGATGTTCTAAAGATGTTAGGTGTTTGGTTTCGGTGTGTTAGAATGCAAATCGGATGTGTTGCTATAAAGTACGGATTTGCTGGTGCGCTGTGCAAGTATGACGATGGGTCGGTTTGGATATAGCTGTGACTGTTTGAGTATGAGTGTAATTGCACAGAATGAAAAAGAAAAGCACTACACTGTACTCACATTCACACCTGAATCACAACGACAAGCATTTCTTGTTAAAATTATAGTCCACTTCGAAGAGCATTACTCAAATGGACATTGTATGTGCTCTTATATACATTGTCTCGATACTATGAAACTTTGATCTTCTGAATCTTTACTCATCTGCAAATTGCTCGAAACAGATAACGTTTACGATCAGTTTCCAGCCAATAAACATGAAAACACGTCAACTTTACGATAGTAAACAGTGCAAATATGTAAGACAAACTGTATGTGTTTGCATTGTTGGATCAGACGCAGAAATGCAGTCGATATTTTGGTAATAGCATGAACAGAGAGTATGCAAGAAGTTTATTGTATATTACGACTATTCAAATCAATCTTTAATATATCCGTAAACGGACTGTGCTTGCACCATTTTCACAGCATAAACTGTGTAAATAACGCCACGAATTCTGGATTAATTATTCTGTCAAATCTCAATCGGAGTTTGCTTAAGACGAACGAAAAAAAGAAATATCCAAAATTATAAATATCCATATTTTGGGCTATGCGACATATCATACTTTACAAAACGCAAAATCAACTAGTTGTTACCATGACACTTTCACCATGAATCATTACAATGCATTTCTTTTTTCCAACAAACTAATTGCAAAACCACGGGAAACTTACGACACAAAACTATTATAAACTTATTTTTATACGAAAAAGCTTCCAATAAGCAAAACATATTTTCAACATACATTTCAACATCCTAAACATCTCAAAAATTTTCATCAATGTCGACCACAACTATTTCAACACTTCTTTCATTACCGATAGAACTCATCTATCGAATTCTTGACCATCTTGGTGATTTCAATATCTCATGCTTGATGCGAAACATTTGTACACATATGAATGCAAACGTTGGCAGCTATCATTGGTATCATATAAAATAAAGTAATATCTACAAATTAAACTTTCATTATTATTAACACATTCTTCATTTGTCTTAAGGCATAAACCAATATACCGTCTCACGAGTGTATTTTCCTTGACTAATCACTGATTACTACATTGCACCGAATAAATTTGATCATTAGTTAAAAACGACTTATGCTTCCAGTTCCAGTCGAAAACCTTCATTGGTCACTAGCCATAATTAAATTTAACTGAAAATGCCACTATTTATAATCTAACAATCATAAAAATGAGTACCATTCGTTGAGATGACAATAACTTAAAAAATCATGAGCGAGTCATACTTAAAAACTTCATTTTCAAAACTATTGGTGAAACCGAAGCATTGAAAGCGCTGCTAAGATCGATCAGTTTCTAAGAACAAAGTCTTTATAACACTTGCATTGTTACTTAGGGTAGACCAAAAATTTTGACCGCGGTATTTTAAATTTTATAAAACACTTAGTATCACAAGTTTTATTACATGAATGCACAGTAGAATGCCTTGTCTATAATAATATACATAACAATTGTATCTTGGATTTAAATCTAACATTTTTTTACATCAAGTCTACTTAGGGCTGACGAAAAGTTCTGATAACATTAAATAAAAATATTAAAAGAAAGAGATACTTTTTTAGTTTTATTTTATTAAATCCAAAAAAATAGTCACCATTATTATTTATCGAAAGTTTCATCCGTTCTAACAATTTGTCCGAAGCCTTTTAAACTCTTTTTTGAGAATATTCTTTACTATCTTTGAAACCTCCGTAGCTAGCGACTATTCGTTTGCTGGATAAGTCAAATATTCGCATAATCGCTGTGTTATAGACTTTATCTTAAAGAATGTTAGAATTAAATCCAAGATAGACTGGTTATATTCATTATTGTAGACGAAGAATTTTACTATGTATTCACGCAATAAAACTTTCGATGCTAAGTATTCTATAAAATTTAGTACGCCATGACCAGAACTTTAGGTTAGGTCGCCTAAGTAATACATAATGAGATATGAACAGTTTCATTACATTGTACATTAGCTAAAACAACATACGCAATTGTAGCAACGTCTTAGCAACACAAATAGGTTAAACAGTGTACCGAGCGTCATAGCATGAACAATTCTTCGAATTGACGAGAAGTTTTTCTTTTTCTATAATAAGCATTGACGACCATCAAGGACTATCTTTCCCAAGTTTGTCAGCCGACATTGAACTTCTCTGTTCTTCCCCGAGCTTTCAAATTCACGTCATGCATCCCACAACAAATCAAAGCCAATTTTCATGCACTGTAAAAATTCATCTGCATGCTGACATTTTTCAGTGTTTTCTTTCTCAAGAAAACAACATTTCGATATAAATAAACTAAATCACATATCATCCAATTAAAGCAACAATAATCCATTATAGGCCCATTACGACATGGGGTAGCAAATTTCAAATTGGTACAAATTTTGAAATCTGCGTGATGTAAGGAAAGTTGACAGCCGATTCGAGTATTTTCCATGACGATTCGCCTGAGCCACTAAGCCACAAAAGCAAATCAGTAAGCCACCTACAACTCGACGAGATCTATCTAACGGTATCATCAGATTTCGCGAAACTTACACTTGAACGCCACAAAAATCAAAATAACACAAAACCCCCATAGGAAAAACTATTCTTTTTAATAAAAACCATCACAATTCGCCTGAGTGCTTAAGCCACTCCTGAATCATACGTCAATCGACGCAGAATTTCATGCGCTATCGAATGGTGTATAGTTTGCATGGCTCAACACCAATCAGATGGGACTTTAACTTGTGAAAACCTTCGGAACCCAGGAGCAGCGGGGTTTCCTTCCTACTCATTTCCATGACGATTCGTTCAAGTACATAAGCCACTGATGAATCATATAACATTCGATGTAAAGTTTCACGCTCTGTCGAATGGTGTATAACGCGCAGGGATGAACATGTACTGTCTAAATCAAATCATGTGTACAAAAACTCATTTCTGAATACTATCATCTCGATGAAGTGAGCATCTTGAGTTGGAAAATAGTTGGAAAGAATGAAAGGGCTGCGAAATGCAATTTTTGCTTAGCTGAAGAAAAAAGCAAATTCTGAACATATGACAGTTTTGATATCGAAGATTTTTATAGCTAAATTAAAATTAAAATCTTCTATATTCGATTATCATTAGAAAAATGTTACTTAGACTTTTTGAGGCAAAAGAGAACTTTTGAAAAAGTACAAAGAAAAATAAGAAACAGTTCGATATAAAGTAGAAAAACCTTGATCTAACTAATTTTTAGATGAATTTTCCATTAGCATTCGTTCGATTAAGAATTTTCACTAGTCTAATTGAATTTTTATCAAGATTTTACAGGAAACAATCTCATAAGTGCATAATTTATCTCTACGCAATTCAATATTTTATCTCAACCATCTTCATTTTCTTCATTTTTAATCAGATAAATATTGAACAAACTCTAACGTTCGTATTCTTTCATTACTGTCACACGGTAATTATGTCTATATGAGAAGTAACGAAATAAAAAGACAGATTTTTCTTCTTCTCTCATTCCGTTTTCTAACATAAAACGCAATGAAACGTTACAAAAAGATATGCACATACGTGTGTATATGTCGCACCTAATATTCATGAAATATCATATAACGGAACAAAATTAATATTCATATGTCTAATGACTTTTTTGTACATTTTTTTCTGTGTAGACAGAAAACTATTACGTAATAAATAATGACCGAGAATGGCGTGAACATTGTTGCTGCTCAAGATTTTAAACAAGCAGCAATAATTTATGAACAAGCTCGATCATCATATCCGAATGAAGTTATTGATTTAATTAAGTCACTTTATAATAAACAAAATATAATTATTGATATTGGTGCTGGTACAGGAAAACTAACACGTTTATTAGCTCCAATTGATGCTCAAGAAATAATTGCTATTGAACCAATATCAACAATGCGTGAAAATCTTAAACACATTCCTTTAATCACTAGAATAATTGCTGGAGCAGCTGAAAATATATCGTTTGAAGATAATACAATTGATATAATTCTATGTGGACAAGCATTCCATTGGTTTGCAAATTATCGTGCACTTACTGAATTAAATCGTGTATTAAAATCAAAGGGCTTACTTATATTTATTTGGAATTTAGCAGATAATCGAGAAAGATCATAGACAAAACCATGTGGGAATATGTTGATTCATTTCGATCAACGGAAATACCAAGGTATGAAACAATGGAATGGAAAAACGTTTTTGATAATCAAAATTTCTTTTCTTCATTACAACATAAACAATTTACTTATAAACATTGTGTAACACATGATTTAGTTATAAACCGAATATTATCAAAAAGTTTTATTGCAACATTATCATCAGAACAACAAAAAACAATAACTGATGAAATTCAAAAAATTTTAGAGAATATTGAAGAAATTCAAGGTTTAGAAGAATTTGATTTAAATTATTTTACTGATGTTTATTGGTGTTCACCATTGAAACCATCGTCGTAATGATTTCATTCGCAATAAAAATGAATGAGTTTTTCTTTATGAATTTTCATGATATTTGATTGTTTTGTTTCGAATAAATTAATTATTGATGTGATTTACTTTGAAATATGAAATTCTAATCTTTCAAATATATTTTGGGATCTAATTCTTAGGTTATAGAAATTTCTATGAAAATATTTTCTTTGAAAAACTTTGTAATTCTGCAGGTATCGTTTATCAAAAAGACGTTTATATCAGTAGTAATTTACATTGGTAAATGCACTTACAGATGTGTACAGGGTGCATAAAAATATTTTTCCAGGTGGATAATGCGGTGATTTTAAATAACACCAACAATAAATTTGATATCTCATTGAGGCGTGTCGAAAGTAGGATTTATCAATACTAGACAATAAGTGTTAGGGCAACTTTTTAGCACTGAATTCAAAAAATTCCTGAAATATGACGCCTTATCAACAGAGAGAAATTCGTTTCGTGAGGCATTTCAAACTAGATCTCATTTAAAATGATGAATATCAAAAAAGTACTCCATACCTGACCTGGAAATATTGGAACAATAATCAAAAATGAAGCTGAAAAGAATGGCAATCAGACACAGAACATAATCGTTCTGATGAAGGAATTCTAAGAAAACATATTTCATGTATGTTAACAAACATGGAACTATTTAAAATTAGTTAAGGTTCGTATTCATCTCATTTTGCTGTCAAAACGCTAATATTCGTCATACTGATTATTAATTATATTGATCAAGTCTTAAGAAATAACTATTACTTTTTGTGATTCATCGTTTTAAATGAGATCTAGTTTGAATGGGCTTACGAAACGAATTTTTCTCTACTGATATGATGCAAAACTTTTGGAATTTTCTGAACTCTATACTGAAAAGTTGCCCTAACACTTACTATTTAGTATTAGTGAATCCTATTTTCGACGCACTTTAGTTTGGTATTAAATTATTTTTACACATTCAGTACAAAATAAATTCAAAGATATGTTTTTCACGAATTTATTCATTCATTACAAATGTTTCTTTTTTGTAGTTTGAATCGAACATAATCACGTAGTTAGCTCGTTCCAGATTCTATTCAAGAATACATCACAAATAGGCGTATCCTACATTATCAATTCAATAATTTCAAGCTTTAAAAATATCTAATTTGATAAAATTTGTAAAAACTGAGAAACTAAGTTTCACAAATCTTTCTATGATCTATTGAATCATGTATTTAATTTATAACCCATTGTCATGGTATTGCCATGACATTAACTTTGTATAATATGACGTAGTATTAGCTCGAGGAAATATATATTCATAAAGAATAATTACACTAATATTTTCTATTTCCTTCTTTTGCAAAAAAAAACGACACAAATCAATATGATTTATTATTACCAAGAAGAAAAGTTTAATATTTTTTCTATTTCTTTTCAAACATTATTTTATGATATCTGCATTATATGACTAAGCTCATATGCTTTCGATTCAAGTCCAAGAAAATGGCTTCGTAAACGATATAAAACAGTGACAATAATAGGACAAATAATGGTCGTTTTCTAGCGAAAAAAATGGCTGAAGGATTACAGTGAAATATAGTGAAGACTACTATGCAGTAATACGCTGTTTCCGATGGTCGAAGTAATCGCTCTAAGAATCTATCATGATAATATTAGCTTATCTTGCTGATTATATTTTTTTTTTCCAAATAATACTTGAATATCTATAACAGCAAGACAAAACAGTTATATTTTGCCTTTCTTTTCTGTAGCGTCCTCTACTTTTTTTTCTTGATTGATAATATGGTTTCATCATATTTTCTTCCTTAGAATCGAAATTTATTTAAAAAAAAGAATATAATCAATGATATTTTTATAGTTGTAAAAAGTTAATTATGAAGAAAATTCAGTATTTTCTCTCAGTTACTAAACAACAAGGAAAAATTATTTTTATTTTAATACTCAAGAGAAAAAGAAAAAGAATTTAGCCTATAAGGTTATTCTTCGTCAGAAAAAAAGGTAGAATTTCTTTTTCTCACACTTGTTGTCATAGAACAATAAAAGAGAAAAACACAGAACGACAATGTCTGTTTTCTCATCGTTTGTTTTCCTAAGTACATAAATCATCTATTGAAAAAACACGCACACATATTAAGAATATCTAGTAAAATGTTCTGGGTTCTTTATATGATGTTTTCTATATTTCGATCCCATCGAAATCGATTTTATTGGCGTAATGGAAAATTACATTTTACAAAACGAGATCCACGACAACAACAACAATATCAAGTACCATTAACACCTTTACAAGAACAACAACTATTTAGACAAAACATTCGACAATGGTTTATATTTTATAGTATTTTAATTGGTATTATAATTAGTATTCTTATTCATCGATTATATTCTCGTCACAAAACTTCTGCATAATTAATTCTAATAATTATTCTTTATTTAGTAAAATAAAAAAAAGAAACAATAAATACGGAAGGTCGAGTGCATGTTTTTCTTATCTAACAAATATCATTTCTTCTTTGCTTTTTCTCTAATACAAAAATATCTATTTTAATCCATATGGGAAATAAATTATACCCGGCACTAATACCTATTTTAAAAAAAGGCAAGTGGTTATTTTTTAAATAAATTTTGATAGAAACGGGATAGAGTGCTGTGATTTTTCATCGCTAAAAATAGGAGATGAAGTCGAATCGACTCACATATTATAACTTTTCCTAAGATGTTTTTTAAAGTTTCTTTCTAACCAATTTCCAGAAAAAAAAGATGAGTTTTCTCACAGCAGTTGCTTGAAAAACCGGTTAACAGTTTTGAATAGAAACCTGTAACCCCTGAACAGTTGAATACAAAAATCTGGGCCTTGTAGATTTTTTTAGATCTTCATATAGTGATTCGAAGGCACACCTGACAAATGAAAATTCACTGTAGGCACCTTAAAAATTACATTAGTTTTCAAACAAAAGTCAATTGAAAATCTTCGAAAGGATCAAGTCAAACAATTTGTAATATACAATTCGATGAATCTTTATCTCCTCTTTCTAAAGGTGAAAATCACAACTTTCTATCTTATTTCAATTAAAAGTTATTCAAAAAGCATCCAGCCGCCTTTTTTTTAAACGGACACCAGAAAAGCAAACATTCCAATGTCCAACTAAGAATTGACAATTTTTTTCTTAAGCATGAATTAATGCATCAAAAAACTTCTATAATTTAAGTTAAATGTTAATTTTAATTATCAACAGAATAATGAATTATTAATGTTAAGATGGCAATTATGACTTGTATGCCTGCAGCGCTGAATAATACTTCTGGGAGAAAGCCAATATTTATATCGAGCTTCGAGAATCTTCTATAGTTTTTCGATCTTTAAAAAAAGGATTATTTTACAATAAGGATTCGTCTACGAAATCACTTTGAATTGTCAATTTACTTTCATATAATTATGCCAGAGTAATGAAATTCTTACAATTTCAAACGACATTAATCAAACTTGATTGAAAAACATTAGTTTAACTTCATGTATGTTCGATGAGGCAAAGTGAAATATTAAGACTTCTTGTAGAATGATTTCTCAGAGTTTTGATCAGAATCTACTTTTATCAAGTATTAATGATCTGTGTGAGCTATAACAGCGGAAAAAAGCGTTTTGAAAATATCCATCATTTTATTCCAGCTGAAACATTTAATATTATATGTTATTTGAAGATCAAATAGAAAAATACTGACGATTTCTAAATAATGCTAGAATAATGAACTTATTCTTGCTGTACATGAGACTCCCGAAATGCGTTTTCTTCGAAAAGAAATAATCCAGAGAAAAAAAAGCCACCAGTGAATTTTCTATCACAAATTAAACTAAAATTTCTATGAAAAAAAAAATAGTCTCACAACTAGTGTGTTTGAAGTAAATGCAGTTCATAATATCACATTATATAGATAATAAAAACATTCTGCTCTATTGTTTTAAATTAAGATAAATAGAAGTTTTTAAAGAATTTAACTGCTCATCTTACATAACTGAAATGTTTAATATTTCATTTATTTTCACTCAATGGGTAACTACTGCTTTATCTAAAAGGATAAATACTTTTTCAATTATATCAATTGATTTTTCTCGATATATAATTTCATAACCATGAAAAATCATCTGATTTCAAAGATGTTTCTATTTTATTTTCGTTGAGTATTAAAAGAATAAAAATGCAACTAATTAACTTAAATTGTACAAAGAACATTAGTTGCTAAAATAATAAAAACTTGAATTTTGATTCGTTTTCTGTGACTGGCTGAGACAAAAATAAATTTATATATTTGTTCATAAAACAAACAAAAAAGCAAAGAAAACAAAATGAAAAAAACACAAAAAACAAACAAACTACGAATATCAAGCTGGGTTGATTTTTATTTTTATATAAATTATAAATATATTCTCAACTAATATCCAAGTTGCTGAAGAATACTACGAAGAAAATCTTGTTGTGTTGCATAACCACCTATATCACGTGTTTTTATACGTTGTTGTTTAATAACAGTTGCAATAGCATTTTCAATTTTTTGAGCCATAGCATCTAAATAAGAAAATAAGAAAAGAATCTACAAGATAGAGAAATTCTTAAACATATTTACCAAGATGAAGATATTGAAGTAAATTAACTCCACATAATAACATTGCAGTTGGATTAGCAATATTTCGACCAGCACCGGTTAAAAATGGATGTCGTGCACCCTAAAATTAAAATTCATTGTTTACAATGATTTGTATAATATATTAAATGAATTGAAATTATATAATTTCATTACAATGATATTATTTTTGAAATATACAGGATAAATGATGTTGTTTACGACCGGCAAAATCCGGAGGATGGAAGGAACTTAGAAGAAGGAATACGATGGTCGTGTTCAATGATCAGCAGTCTTCGATAATAGTCGCTTCAGATCGAAAACAGAAAAATCTAACCATTGGATCTGAACATCGTATTTCTACTTCCAATTTTCTGCCATTTTCCGAGGTTTCTCAACTGGAACTGGTCATACATTATACATCATACATCTGAATTCTTACTTCGGGCTATGTAGGTGTAGGTGGGATCTTCATTATTTTAGTTCTAATTTTCATACGATAATCACTCCTTGTTCGTGATCATTAACTACATAAAAGATATATATATATATATATATATCATTGAATATTAATACTGTTGACTCTATTGTTTTTCACGTCTTAAATTGATTGTTCATTGAAGAGGCCAACTTTTCTTACTATCATAAAGAAAACTATCTACTTTCAAATATCTTTAGTACCAGTCATTGTATAGCTATTTCGATTTTCTTCTCATTCCTGTAAGAATCTATAGTGAGACTAATCGCTCCCCTGTAACTTCTCTAACCGTAACATACAGAGAAAAAAAGACTTTCCAGCTTTAACCTTTCTTGCTAAACACTTCTGATTTACAAAATGGATAAAAATTTAGATCCTCTGACATAAATTAAATGTTTTTTTCGATCAACATACCGGTTCAAAGATAGCAACATCAGTCGAATAAGATTCTCCAGGAACCATTCCAGCTCCTCCAACTAATCCAACCGCTAAATTAGATATAATATTTCCATAAAGATTTGGTGCAACAAGTACATCAAATTGTTGTGGTTTAGAAACTAATTGCATGCATGTATTATCAACAATCATTGTGTCGAATTTAATATTTGGATATAATGTTGATACTTCACGACATGATTCAAGAAAAAGACCATCACCAAGTTTCCTATATTTTACAGAAAAAAAAAAGAAAAACAATGTTTCAAATAGGAAAAACAACGAAAAAAGAAACTGAACATTATATTCGCTTTGTGTACAGCAGTGATCTTTTTTCTATTGAATTTTGTTGCAAAATCAAATGCAAATTTAGCAATGCGTCTTGAATTTTCATAAGTTGTAATTTTTAATGATTCAACAACACCATGAACAGACTAAATGACAAAGAAATATTAACTATAAAAGAAAGAAAAAACGAAATATCCTATATTTTTCATTTTACTTCATGTTCAAGTGCACTATATTCTCCTTCAGTTTGTTCACGTATAACAATGAAATCAACATTTTGATGACGAAGTTTAAGTCCAGGTACAGTTTTTATTCGAACAACATTAGCATAAAGATCTAATGCACGTCTGCATTAAAAACCAAAACAAAATTTTATCTTCAGAATATTTTAGTTTCATACCTAATCTTCATATTTAATGACATCAGATCTCCACCTTCACTAATAGCTGGCGTCTAAATATTCAAATATATATTTTTTATATATAACAAATAATAGTAATGAATTGGGTACTGTTAATATGCCTTTCATGCCAACACGATTACGTTTAAATGAAGCAACTATATCAGCAAGTGATGACGTTCGACCAGGCATTAATTCACTAAAATCAATTAAATAATAAGAAAGAGAAAAATTCTTTGTTAAATATCATTCAAATCAAACCTTGCAAGTAATTCATCAAATTCAATTGGTGCACCAATTGCATTAAATACCTCACGTACACATAACATTAATTCTGGTCCGACACCATCGCCAGGTACAACAGTAACATGATATTTATGAGATTCAGTGATTTTTTCTGCGGTAGTCTTAAAACATAAATAATCAAATTTGAAGATGAAAGATTTTCTCTTTAATAATATCTTACAGTTACTGATGAAGCATTTCTTATTTGCTAGAAAAATAGATAAATAATAATTAAAATATATATTCGAAATAAATGAAACAGGGATAGTCCGACGATGGGGATGCGTCACCTTCAAATCAAGAGAACTGTTTGTTTTTTTTTTCTAGAGAAACTAAAAAATCCTTTTATGCGTTGTCTTAGCAAAAAAATTCTTTACATCTTTCCAGACAATCGCAACGTCTCCACTCGCCAATGTTGGCTACTTTGAATCAGCTCTGAAAATTAAACTTACATTAATATTTCTACGTAATATGGCACCAACAATATTCGATGGAAAACGTCGGAATAAAGCAGACGTCATTATTATTTCAAATAAATCTGGTCAGAAAAACAGCTTTTATCATCGACAGAGAATATCCAAAAACTGTTAATTTTCTTATTGGTTAAAATAGAAAGCGAATAAAAAATAGAATAAATACATGATTGAGATGGCTGATCAAGACTGTTATCGTTCTTTGTTGTTATATAGACAGAAAGGACCTTTTTTGTAAGTTTAATTTTAACAAAAAAAAACTTTATTTATTTATTGTTGTTTAGAATGGATACAAAAGAAAATGATCATTACTTCATCTAATCGAAAAATTTCTTTCTTTTCCAATCTTTCCTACAAAATACGATGATTAAATCAGCTTTAATTTAATGAATTGTACAATAGGATAAGTTAACAAATCGATATTATTTAAGATAAATTTTTTAAAATATATCTAAATCTATTTATAAACAGTAAAAATACAAAACATTATTGAAAATAAATTTGTTTAAGTCATTTATGTATGAGATAGATTAAGCTGTACATATACATTAGCAATATTAAAATTTGTCCTCGTATTGCATTTATTCTAATATTCAGATATTAATAAAATAATATAAAAATGGAACGTTTTATACGTAATATGGGTCTTGGACAATTACCTAGAGATTTACAAGGCGGTGGAGCTCAAGGTGATACACCAATGGTTGATACAGCTGAACAAGTTTATATATCATCATTATCACTTCTTAAAATGCTTAAACATGGTCGAGCTGGTGTACCAATGGAAGTTATGGGGTAAAACTTTTATTTAAAAAATTTAATTTCTTTTTTTTTCAAAATTATTTTATTATTTAGATTAATGTTAGGTGAATTTGTCGATGATTATACAGTTCGTGTTATTGATGTTTTTGCTATGCCACAATCGGGTACTGGTGTTAGTGTTGAAGCTGTTGATCCTGTATTTCAAGCTAAAATGCTTGATATGCTTAAACAAACAGGTCGTCCTGAAATGGTTGTTGGCTGGTATCATTCACATCCAGGTTTTGGTTGTTGGTTATCAGGTGTAGATATAAATACACAACAAAGTTTTGAAGCTTTAACTGAACGTACAGTTGTATGTATTTATTTGTTGATAATTAAGAAAATATGAAATGAATTTTTTGTTGTTGAGGCTGTTGTTGTTGATCCAGTTCAAAGTGTTAAAGGAAAAGTTGTTATTGATGCTTTTCGTCTTATTAATCCAAATTTATTTGTACTTGGACAAGAAGCACGACAAACAACATCAAATTTAGGTCATTTAACAAAACCATCTATTCAAGCATTAATACATGGTCTTAATCGTCATTATTATTCAATATGCATTAATTATCGTAAAAATGAATTAGAACAAAAAATGTTATTAAATTTACATAAAAAATCTTGGATGGATGGTTTAACAATACAAGATTTTAATCAACATAATGAACAAAATACCAATGTTGTTAAACAAATGCTTGATTTATCTAAAAATTATATTAAATCATTAGAAGAAGAAGAAAATATGACACCAGAACAATTAGCTATAAGAAATGTTGGTAAACAAGATCCAAAACGACATTTAGAAGAAAATGTTGATGCTTTAATGACAACAAATATTGTTCAATGTCTTGCTGCTATGATGTCATTAGTTGTATTCAAATAAAACATTACTACTTTCTCTTCGTTCTTTGCATTTGTTAGATTTCATCTTATTTGTTTTTATTTTTCTTTTTCTATATAATCAAGTCTGTGCCCATATGTATTCTTCAGTTTGAAGCATTTTTTTTTGTTAAACCAAAAGGAATAAGAATGAAGAGAAAGATGAGAACGGAAATAACAAATATAAAAGAAAAGGTCATCATTACGAAGTTGATCATAAGCAGAAAAATGAAAGATAAATTTGCTTTCATAGTTTTTATTCTCACAAACTAAGACCAATAGTCATTTTAATCATTGTTCACAAATATATTTATATAAACCTGTACTTAAATGATTGAATCATTTAAACAACGAGTCACTCGTTATATACTTTTATTATATACACAGATCATGTAATTTAAACGGACAAAGACAAAGCCGACGATCGACTCACTCGAAGAAAAAAAAATTTCTTCTGTTCTTTTTCTTTCCTTTTCTTTCTTTGTTTCACATGTAAACCACCTGCTTCTTCAACTTTTACTACAGCTACTACTCATTTACACTGCGCGTTCTCTGCTTCATATACGACTTGACGAGCAAAAGAAAAAAAAAAAGAAAGAAACAGTGATATTATTATTTTTCATGAAATTTTGTTCATAAAAATAAAAAGCACAAATTATAATGGAATGGTATACAGTTCTTGGTCTAATTTTACTTCTTATATTAATTGTTTTGTTGGGTGTTATGCTTGCATGTTTGTTATCTGGTCAACGTTGTACAATATCAATTCAAAAACGTACTCCAAATCAAGAATTAACTAGAATTCAATTAGAAGAACAACAAAAACAACAAAAAAAATTAAGTTCAAAATTTAAACGAGCATTTCATTCATCATCAAAATCTCAACAGCCCTTAGCACCTGTTGAAGATGTTAAAACAGTTGAATTAACATTAAAATTAGGTGATGATGAAAAACAATCCGAACAAATAACAACAATGAATGAATCATCGGTGATTCTTCTACCAAAAGTACGTAGTAATCAAGCTGAACGTGATGAACGACAGAAAAAACGAGAAGAACTTAGAAAAAAATATAATCTTTAAAATATGCGTAAGAATATATATCTAAATCTTTTTTCTTTTGTACTTGTATACGTGTTTATACTTATAAATGAACAAACTTCAACGCAATCTTTATTAGAATGCTAACTTTGAATTTTAGAACTTTTTATATATAATTATTATTGTGAAAAAGTAGAACATTTTATTCTTATAACAACATCTAAAAAAAGCTTATTTTACAAACAGTATCTATATTGATGTGAAACGAGATAATTAAATAATTCATATTACCAATAAAACATTAGTGTTTAATCAAAATGTGTTTTTGCAAAAGAAACAAATGAAATATTTGCTTTCAATATTAAATTCTATCATTTTCTTTTTATTATTAAAAAGTACATGTTCCTGTATGGATTGAATTTTATCGATTGATTGACTCCATGATTTGTATATTTTTAATAATATGCGAATAAATCAATATTGATAAACATTTGCTGCACATGTTTGCTAAACGCAAATAAAAGCAAACGATTTTTCAAAGTTTTCTCGCATATAATAAATTCATAAGATTGAAAATATAAGTCAATGTGTTAATCGGCGGCAGCTGAAAGTTTTTGATGTTTTTCTTTTTCAAAACTCTGTTAGATTTGTGAAATTTTGAAAATGGGAGAAGATGATGGTAAAGAACAACGATAAGAAACTAGACAATAGCATCCTTGAAAAGTGATCCTGAATAACGAAGATTTTCAAAAGTGTAGTATCTTTGTTTTTGTGTTGATGACTCAGCCAATTGACTTAAACCTATATAAACGATGCATGCTGGTTGAAAAAGTCGATTGTGACTGTGAAGTATTCAAATTATATGACATTTTCAAACTAAGTTTATCTTATATCGGAGTGACTATAGTGAAACTTGACAACTCGATATGATCATGTTTTCATGAGATATCCATTAAACAATAGTCAAAACTTGTTCATTTGGGAACCCAACATTTTCTGTAGGTTTTCACTCAATAGATTTTATTTTTCTTCTGTTTGAAAAGGCATGTCAGAGTGCAGAGCTTGATAGAGCTTTTTTTCTAAGCTAAAAATGACACGTTCAATAGCACAAAAACTTAATAAATGCCAATTTTTTAAATATTTTTTTTGCGGAAGTGAACATGTCATTTTTAGGCTCTAGTAGCAAAGTAAGGGTATAGAAAAAAAGAGCTTTGGACTCACAATCGACTTTTGCAGGAGACCTTGAGACACTTCTTATAATAGTACTTTTTTAGAACTAATTACAAAATCATAGGATCAAATATGCGATGACGGATTCTGGAAATCGTTTTCGACTTAGATGTGCTCAATATTAAGCCTTACGTAGTATTTTCTTTCTTTAGTTTTATATTGCAAAGAGACGCTGTAGAAAAGAAATTATTTCCCATTAGTTTTCGTTCTAATTGATATCCATGTATATTTTAAAAAGCATTATTCCACAAGACTTTTCGAATTGATCAAATTAGAAAAAAAAATTAATATTACCATTAATCGAAAGTATGTGATTACTGTTAATGAATAAATAATCTTTCAGATTTCTCTAAATCAATTCTACGCTACAAACGTGGAAAGATTAATGGTTAATATTGAGAAAAACTAGCACATAGTCGATGTGACACCTGAAATTGCGTATTAAAAGAGAAAAGTATATGGAATATCCAAGATTCTATCGAATAAATAGGGAATATATGTCATTGCAATTTCCATCATTGTTTCTTTTACATTTTGACGAATTACTTTCAAAACATTAGTAAAAAATTGTCAGCATCACTACTTGCTTTCGCTGAAGTGTAGATGATAATTATCATACAAACTAAAAAATAACTTCATCACTGTTATTCAATAACTAAATAATAGCATTAATAATTAGATTTCACAAGGGAACGTTCCAATTGTCTGATCGCTTTTCACGGGAGATTATTGCCATTCAATTGGTCATGATCAAAAGAAAAAAAAATTGATTTGCTTGGATTTTGAGATATTTGTATTTAAAAAAACCGTCTGTTTTGAGCTATGTTTCGAAAGATGGGCATTTCTATCACAAAATTTCATCTCAGTTTGGATATATTTGTCCAAGATCAAACTTTGAGATATTTCTAGTGGCTATGAGGTCTATCTATGACCAAAATTCGATCATCCCGGTTCTCATCAATTGTATGTTCATAGGGCGAAAACCAAGTAAAACACTCATGAATCAACAACGAAACATTGAAAAAACGAATCAAGAAAGACTTTTTTATTGCTCTACTGGCATGACCAATAGTTCAATTTTAAGTTCCATAGGAAACCTAATTAACTTGGAATACAATGACGAAGGAGAAATAACAAAAACCAACAGAAATGAAGGCAACAAAAATCTAGTAGCAATAGAACAATCGCTTTGAAAGCTACAATAAAGCAAAAAGAGATTGTTTTCTTTCCTATTTCTCTCTTCCCCCAAAAGCAAGGCTTAATACATTTTTCTTTCTCTAATTGAGTGTCATCTGTTCCACAGAAATATTTTTTCGAAAGTTTCTAGAGATCGCTTATTACGAATAAAATACGAAGAATTTTTCTTATTATAAGAATATTACCGAATCCTCACAGAGAACATCACCAAGCAAATTAAAAACTGTAAGTATCTGTTGAACGATAAAAGTTTTATAGAGACAAGGAGTTGTTCGTCTGTATGAAGACTACTCTTTTGTGATATTGAACGAGGAAGTGCAAGTCAGATTCACATTCAAATCACTGAAAGGACAATATTAATAGACTTGCCATACATACTTTTTCTTCCCTTTTAGTTTGTCCTAAATGAACAATCGTAGGAATTCCGCCATAGAATGCAAGTATACGATTGCTTTTTCTCAGTGTCTTGTGCTTTTCATATGACTTGTTTGAACGAGGACAACGTATTGATATGAAGTGATTGACTGTATCAAATACTATAAGCTAAATAAAATGCATTAAAGACCAGACAAAATGATAATTGGATTAAGATTCTCTTAAAAACGTATTGTATAAATACATTATTGATGAACAAATATTCGTCGAGCAATGCATAATTATGTTCATTCTGAGTTCTGTCAAAATATTCATTTCTCGTCAACAGCCATGTTCAAGACTTTCAGTTCACTATCAATCGCAAACTTTATTCATATCATCAAAGACGTACTTAATTAGTTTTTTTCTAATGAAAATCAAATATTATTTTAATCGTGTATATAAATGAAAGTGTCACTTTTTGTATTAATTATTATCTCCTTCCCCCTTATAACTAAACTGCAAATAGATTATCGTAAGGTTCGCGTTATCTTACACGACAACCTATGTAAACACTAAACTCACAATACACCACTTCAAACACAGTTTCATTATAAACTACGTGTAGGAGATGTTCAAAAAGCTTTCAAACTTGATTTTACATGAAAATGCATCGGCACTTGCGATCGATGAAAGATGTTAAAAGGCCTTCAGATCCATTCATCTTCCAAAATGTATTTCCATCACACGTCTACATGATATCGATCTCAGCATATTTCGAATCTGAGATGACTCAAGATTTAATTTTTTTAAATTTCATTTGCAATGCACACTGACGCCATTCAGTTTGAAATTGCATCTAGACCTAAGAAGGTTTCATTCGAGCAGCGTCCGAACGCATTCGTTCTTCAACTTTCGAACATATATCAACCACGATTATGATTCATTTTGACTGCAGAAGTATTCATATGAAAATGATCTAAATCTCTTGCATAGAGATAAAACGTTTTCTTCTGTCGATTTATCTATTTGTGATCAATTCATTGCAAGACTAATGTTAAGTAAAAACTGATGACTTCGGAGTATATTACAATGAAAAGTATTTTGAATTAGTTGAAAGATATCTAATTGAAGATCTTCATGTTATGTTCAAGTTTACATGATAAGAAAAAATTAAATGACTTTCTATTTTTTGCCATATTGATTTCTCAAACAATGTATTCTTATTCAAAATCGACTTTTTAGAACCAAAATCGTATTTTTTCAAATTATCTGTGTTAATTGAAAAGACATTAATTTCGTTCAAGAGTGTATTTATTATGATCACAAAAATCAATGATTAAATATTTGTTTCACAAATTTTATATTTAAGAGAACAAAAATAGTTCGAATTTATGCAATTTCATTACCATCCTCCGTATGAATAGCCATAGCCACCACCATAACCTCCGTAACCTCCATAACCTCCAACTCCAGGATAACCTCCATACATTTGACCATATGTTGGATTTGGATTTCCACCCATTTTATTATCAAGATATTCACCATAGTAACCTATATTAAAAGAAATAATTAAGATATTCATTCGAATAAAAACTAAATTACAATTAAGATTTATGATAGAAGCCGAAAATTTATTACAGAAAATGACACAAACTTTATCAAGATAATACTTCGAGTTGCAAATCACTCTTTTCTACACACCCACAACAATCTGCGTAAAACTCACAAATTTTTCGTTTTTAGAGAATTATTTGTTCTATCATTTCGTGAAATCTACATCAAATTATATTTGTACATACTAGGTTCTCATAACTGGTGATTCATCTTTCTCAAAACCCTGTTCTTTTCGGATCTGATAATCAAAATATTTTCATATATTCTTGTTGTGTAGATTTTTCTCGATTGGAATCATTATTTAAAGTCTTTTTTTAAGATTAAGACAGTGACAAGAAAAATTGAAAATCAACCTTGTTCGATAGTTTTAGTAGCTATAACAATAATATTAGTAATATAATTGTATGATTCTTACTGTTTAATCCACCGGGAACACTTCGTTCAATCCACATATCAGATGAAAGTTCTGACATCATATAAGGATTACCACCATACATGTTTAATGTAATATTAAATACGTAGAATACTAAGGAATATGTCTCTGTTTTAATCAATGAATAAAAACTGTTTTGATTTCATCTATTTATATATGATCTTATTATTGCTATGATATGACAAATATTAGTAATAAAAAATGTGTGAAGTGTAACCAAAAAAATAATTATTGAGTTAATGGAGCCGTTTAAACAACAAAACATGGTTTGAACGACTTTTTCCCTTGATTTCTATTGATTTGATGCGCATCTCTACACATACATACAAAACTTTTATTCTGAAAACAAAACTGGACTTAAGTTCTTATTTTTCTATGAACCTTTGTTTTTCTGAAATAATGTTGAACTGGTCGTTTTTTCCTGACCTCAATGAGTAAACATGCTTTACAGATAAAGAATATATGAATAATCACATAATGTCATTACTAATTTTTTTACCGTGTCATGTAAGAAAGGTTTTTCTTGTCATTCACTCGTTAATCATACTTAACAAAACCCTATATTTTGATTTATTCATCGATTAAACTAAAAGCAAGTGTTTAATATTTCCTAAAATAATTTTTGATTTAAAAAGGTAATCATAAATTAAAACATCTATTTAATAAATAACAGACAACAACAGTTAGTAATAAAAAATATTTAGTGAACTTTGTTTATTCTATATGATGACTTGAAATAAAGAAATAAATGCTGATTTTTTTCAAATACTTTGCAAAAAGATCAAATATGATCATATTTATAATTTAGGTACAAAGGCTTCAATAATCATTGCATCGATTAAGCCAATAACTGCAAAATTAACACAGGGTGATAATCGAGTTTATTTTACTATAACTAGATATTTATTCAATATTAGTTTCTAATTATTGAAAAAGAGTAGAAAGAAATAAAACGACCAAGTCATCCATTTTATCTCGAATTATGAACAACATTAATTATATTAAAACTTTCTTATCGTTTGGTTGATTATTAAGAAAAATAGAACTCTAGGACAGAATGATGTTTTACAATGTGTTCAATACAAACTCTTTCAAGTTTTAAATTTTCACTACATCATACAAAACCGATTAAGAGTTGTGTATATTTTTAGAAAAAGTTTTGCTGCAATGTCTTAGCTCAAATACCTGTTTTTCTTTCAGATAAACGATTCTTTCGACGTAGTGATATCCAAAGAAAATGTTTTATAACAAAATCGTTTTGTTCATACAAATAATACTAATAATAGGATACTACTGATTGCAATAGTAAGAAGTAAACCACTCATTACTACAATGTTTATACTACACAGTAGATGTGTCAGATGAAAATAAGTTAATAATATAAAGACATATAAATCTTTTGCATATAACCATTATTTAGGAGTAGCAATACCATATGAACTACGATTAAAATCTGTCTCAACAAGAGCTAAATCACAATGGACTTTCTTCGTTCGTATTAATCAATAAAAATTTCAATTATAGGAGAAATTTCACATAAATAAAAACTCTTCCAACTACGATCCAGCAAAGATACCAACATGACTATAAAACAACCTTTCATATCTCATGTCATTAATTCTAGAAATAAAATCTTTTGATTTCGATATTGTAAAATCAGATGATAGACTTGTCGTATACGTCGCTATTAATACCATATTTAAAATAGATAGATCTACACTTATTAGTCATCCAGCAACTATGTCAACTTGAAAATCTGTGACATATCCCAAAATGGTATGAACACAATATCACATAGTTATTGCACTAGAAGAAATTATGAATTTATTTTTCAATACTTTGTCTTCTTATCGTTCTAATAGACACAACAAGATAAAAGTATATATGCTTTCAAAGAGAAGTGTTAAACAGAGAGCAAATAAAAAACAGTCTTAAGTATGAAAAAAAAAAGATCAGTATCTACTCAAATTACTTTCTGAATAATAATGTCTGAAGAATTATCAAATACTGAATTTGAAAAATCAAGTCTTTCTCTTTGTGCAGCAGTAATAGGTAACATCATCAACTACTAAATTGCAAAAACCTTTCTCTACTAGTTGAACTAATTCATTATAAATCTCATTCGATGATGCTTAGACAATATGAGGAATAAATCCCATTATATTTTGCTGAATATGAATAAGATAGGATACATAACCAATTAACTTAGTTGTATTCTCAATGTCAATGCTTCAATAAAACAGATTCTCAAGTTGGCATCCGCAAGTTCAGTAAAATCGGTAGGAGATCTTAAGGACTACCAAGCCATACGATGATATTTAAATGTGAATATTATGAAAATAAGACCATTGTAATACTACTACAAAATCTACACGATTTACAGACGGCTAAATATTTTCTATATCATAACAGACATCATCTATTATATCCGTCGTGCTTGCACTAGACTTTATCAGATAATATACACCAATAAATTCCGTGGTAGTAATAGCATTGAAAAACAAACTACGATTAAGAAAAAGAAAATCATAACAGAATGAGCTATTTATAATGGATATGTAGAAAGAAAAATGATTAGTATATGTTGAAGAAAGTTGTTGCAATGATTGAATCAATATCCAAGGTGTATCGAATCCATATATAGTGCATAATAATTGACTTTTGTCAGTTCAACAAATGTTTTATGTTCATATTGATGCTAAATATTATAGGCTGCATTACATAATGATGTATTAATTGGACCATGGAAAACATATCTTACTATGGATTCTATATTAACTTTGGTCCAAGAACATTAAAATCAGACACATATTTTAAACCTAACCGTGAATAGTTATTAGTTTCTACCCATAGTAGTACAATTCATGTTGAACTGCTAGATAGATGATCTATTAAATCACATCGAATACTGTATGTCGCAATATCAAATAGTACTGTTTGACTAAGCACCAATTTATTTTTACTAAATGCATGATTTATTGTTTGTTTCAGCACCATGACCATGCTACCAGAAGCATCTCAAGAAACTATGCAGTAAAAGATTGAATATGCATATGGATCAGATTAATCAAGATTAGTTACGCCATATGTTATAACGGCAATATCAATTGATATCGACAACGTCAACAATTATATGAGCTTCTCCTGAAAACGTTGGTCCAACAATACCAATAATGTTGGAAGTGGACATTATTAAACATATACTGCTAAGAACACCTTTTGTATCAATGACAAATGTATTGTAAATCCTATTCAATTCTTTTAATATCTTTCTTTTTTTCTGTTTTTATCTCTTGTTGGTATCCAAAATACACTCGTTAGGCGAAGAAGATCCCTGACGACAAATCGAATAATTGATTATTACTGTTGGCACAGCAATGTGAGTATTGGACATAAAACTGACCGTCCACTTGCACTCTATTCAACACTATTAAAACAATTCGATCATATCATACAACAACATCGATCATATAGTAGTGTTAAATTACTATTATTCATACACTTCCATACTACTGAATGCGCCATACAACCCTATTGTCTCGCATTTGGTTATTGTCTACGTGAGTCTCCTATTAAAGTCACGACAAGCAGCATGGATGAACAAAATGATNTTCAATTTGTCTGTTGATCACAGTAACAGAATATTTCCGAATTAAATAAATCTATTAAGATAAATCGCTGAATTTTAATAATGTTAAAACGTCGTTTAGTTTTTTTTTTCTTGAAGTTTCTCGAAAAAGTTTCTTATTGATGTTTTTATTTATTAATCATTTCTAATCGCATATTCATTTGCTTTTAATTCTATGTCGTCTGTTTAAATCTTCTTAATACATCTTCTTTTTTAATTTATTTTTATATATTGTTTGTTCTTGTTCTCGTCTTACTTAGGAAGACGCTTATTATATTATACCTATCGTATTTCACAGAAGAGAAAAAAAAGAATAGGAAGAGATTCAAATGCAAGTCAGATAAATTTACAGACATTTTCACAAAATTGGTTTTCTCTTCCAGAATACTTTGTTTTATCTTTCGATAATAATAATAAATGACTTGAGATATTTTTCGGATACAGTTGAGTCATAAAAATAAAAAGCTTACAAGGAAAACAAATTGTTTTCAATCATTTTAATTTGTAAAGATTTTTTTTTACATTATTCATTATGCAAGAATATTAACTGATTTGTTTATTATTATTCTGTCTTGTCAATGAAATTGTTGCAATATCTTGACTGTTAGTTGAAATACAATTGAAAATTGTTTGTTCTGAATTTTCAGTAGATGTTGATGTAACTTGAGAATAAATCGAAAGAAAATTCTATCAATTAGATAAAAACAGTTAAAGATACAAATATTAAAATTTCTGGTCAAATTGGTCGAATTATTGAATGTTTACCATTACCATTTGATGCTCCGAATGCAAGAAAACAAAATAAAAATGAACAATCACATATTTTACAAGCGTATTATCAACTATTATGGAAACAAATGGAACAAAGAACATTTACATTACATCAATCAAATTTTGATTATTCTGATAAACATTTATATATTATTCAATCAATCTTCAGATGTTCAAAAACCAAAAATATCAAGAGAAATACCAATTAGATTAAGAAAAAACATACGAAGAAATTCGTCGCGTTACTCACGATGATAAATCAATACTATTAGTCGTTTTTATTCTATTTTCTACGGAAGTTTTTTTTTCTTATTTGCATCAGTCATATTCTATTCTATCTATTCTTTTTGACAAATATTTTGATCTTATCTCTTCTCTATGAAATATCAAACATAATTTTATTTCTATTTCAAATTTTATTTCAATAATATCTGACAATAATCAATTGATTTTTGCATGAGAAAAATATTCTTGTAATTTTAAACGTTCTACTATCTTACCAAACACTGTAAGACGAATGATTTTCGAACAATTAATACGTGTTTCCTCTCTTGTAAAATCGTTGGTTACTTGTTTTAATGAATCATAACGTACACGAAGGTGAACATCATTTAGTAAACATATCTTTGCCTTGTTTAAAAATTCGTCAAGATAATCTTCATGAGTTTTAACAAGATCAATTTCAACAAGATGAGAATATTTAATTATTGGCTGTTCAAGATGATTATTATGTTGTGGTTCATGATTATCTATAGTTAATTTTCTAACAAATGGAAACGATTGAGTAATTCGAAGAAAAAAGTCATGTTCGAAAGGATGATCATCATATAATGATATTTCACGAACACATTTAAATAATCCACCAGGAAAATTATTTGCTATATTATGATAAAATGTCCATATATATGGATATGAATACACATGACAATATAGTTCTGTTCGTGAAAAATAATTAACACTTGAAATAATTTGATTATTTTGAAAGTTTCGAAATGAATATTTAATATCTTCGTTCAATGGTACATTAATCAGTTGATCAGGGTAAATAACTGAACAAATGTTAAATGTGAATTTGTTTAATCGTGTCATATGATTAATGATATTATTTTCCAAATTATCACCATCAATAATTGGTCCATGTACACTAATAAAATACAAACTAAGTTCTTCCAAATTTGTCATCCTTTGGAATAGCGGTACCAATATATCATCATACATGTATGTTATACCCTCATGGATTAGCGAAAAATATTTTAAATTGGGTAGTTGCTTCTAAGTACACGAAAGAAAAAATAATTAATATTCGTAAATATTATTTATTCATTGAAAAAGAGATTAATACATGCGTAACTTACATGGTTGCCAACTAAATGTCCAGCATAACCATTAGAAGGCAGAATCGTAACATAAAACGTATGCAGTTGATTGAACTGACCATCAAGCAGACAGAGACAATCTAAGATATTTTTTACTACAACATGTAATTCTAATAAACTTGAAGAGAATTCAATTGGAGCTGTACTCAAAAATGTTAATTGTTCATGATTACAATATGAACTGAAATTCAAGTATCGTAGATTCTTGAATAGAATACAGATTCTAATAAATATAAATATATTATTATCTTGTGTTGTATATCCTAATTCATCTATTCGCTGTTTACGCGGTTTCAACTTGATAAAAATTGATGAAATTTGATTTTGAAATTGATTAACTAAATAACTTCCATCTAAAGAAAAAAATAAAAATTTCTATTAAATTATTTCTTAGTTTTTATTTTGTTTATTAAGTTCAAAATATTCTATTCTCTTTTCTTTATTCATAAAAATCAATTGTTCAATGATTCTCAATTAAATTCTTTAGTAGACTGTAATGTATTGTCCAAACTATGTTTTTTTTTTTATCTCAGTCTTCTATTTCAGTCTAGAATTTCTATTCTGAGAATGAAGGAATTATAATTGAATATACTATAAAACAATATTTGTTTTTTTTAACTGATGTCTTTATATGTTGAATTTTTTCCAAATTGATATCTACCAATTAATGTTAAAAATAAAAACTATGCCTGTAATAATCAAATTCTGATTATTTAAAATATATTTTCAAATAAATTTGCTTTGTATAAGTAATCATTGAAAGAGTATAGAAGAAAAATATCTTACCACAGAAGAGTGTACTGGCTGTTTCAGGTTCAAATTCATATAAATCAAGTGTATGTAAATTAGGATAGTTTGTCGTCAGAAGAATACATTTAATAAATGATGATTCAATACTAAGTCGCTCGATTTTATCATTGATTTTAGGTAAAATTTCAAGAGAAAATCGATCAAGTATTATATTAAATTCATATGACCTATGAACATATTTTATTAATGATAAATTTCTTGTAAAAATTCTATCGTAGAGAATTGTATCAAGTCTTTCATTAAGACCCATGAAAGAATAAAGTACATCACAATTGTTTAATTTTTGGAAAATAATCAGAAGAATTTCATCTGGTAAATCCTGAAGTCGAATACATGAATATTCCACGTTTATGCTTGTCATTCGTTTTTTTGCTTTTCTTATGAATGTATATCTATATTCATCTGTTCTATCTGACCGATCTCGGGAATGAAAACAACGAGCATTTGTATGTTTAGTCTAAATTGACCATCAATGAACGAATAACCGATCGAATAATTTTTTTTCTTCTTATTCAACACTTAGAGGTCAAACACGCTAAAAAGTGAATGAGATGAATTTTATTCTAAATCAACAACTTCTACATACCAAGCAGTTCAGTCACCAATGAGAGCGGAAAACATGTCTTTCTGTCTAGTGCCGAGAAAATGCCCGTGAAAAGTTCATATTTATTCCGAAATTCAATAAAATCATAAGTGTCATATTTTAAATGTATATGGTTTGATAAAAAAAAGTTTGTATTACATAAGAGACGATACGTTTGGTTTCTTATTGGAAAAAAGTATTAGGCATGGTTGGTACGTTAACATTAATTCACTTAAAATAGGGTTGCTATCTCTTCCACTATTTGGCCTTTCCCCTGATTTTTCCACTCTCTACAGTCTTTCCGCTTTTCAATACAAGAATAAAACTTGCTTTCAATAATAGTTTTCAGCATAAAAAAACAAAATGCAAATGCTGATCAATTAAAGCATTCATTTGATTCGGTTTCAGATCCTATTCAATTAGTATTTACTAAGCTTCACATAATAAAAATTTGTGTTTACTGTTCAGCATTAAATATTATCTGTTTCTCATAAAATTCATCACTCGTGCGTTTAGTGATCAGAAAATATTTTCTATGTGTTTTGCTATGAGTTTTCATAAGACGTTTCAATATACAAGAGAAAGATTTCTACGATAAGGCGTATTGCCTCAGATGCTACTTTTTTGTGGGAGAACGACGATTGTGTGCAAGGAAATTTTGTGAACAGACAATTGTGTGTTAGATTTTTGTATGCAGATGATTGCGTGCAAAATGAATGTGTGTATGCAATCTAGCTTTACATTTCTGTTTGTTGCATTGTGTACATCGCCAATATACTCTATTTTCATGAGTACGTTCTTCGATATGATCAAAACTGCTCTCAATCAGAACTGGCTTACCCTTTTCAATTGTAGAAAATAAAATTGACATGATGTGTTTGTACTTTCAATGTGATCTATATGACGGTGAATTTTGAATGATTGTAAATGAATAACGTTTTCTTATTCTCACTTGTTTAAATACTTTCAAGGGAAATTGATCATTGTCAGGCTCTCTTTCTTTAGTATTAGTCAATACAAATAAAATTAATCGGCGTGCATGAACATGACTGTCTGTTCTCATAACTGTCTTTCACACAATAGTCATAGACGCCTTTTTTGTACTTCCACACGGATAGAATAGTTTTTTTTTCAAAGGAAGCATACTCTACAGAAAACAGTGACCGGAGTATTATCGTAGACGGTGATCATTCATCTTTATAGTTTATCATTGTCACTGATCGGACGGTTACATAAAAGGATACTCTTTCTCAATTCCTGAGCTCGAAAAAGCGAATTTTTCGATTTTATTTTTTGACTTTAATAATATATTGGAATGCTCTCTGTATAATAGTTTTAAAAGATTTTTCCGCTTTTTCAACCCCTCTTTCCACTATTTTAGGTCGAAATTTTTGACTTAATGAGATGACAACTCTGCCTAAAAAAGATGACTCAAGTCTGTTTTAACTTTGAGTTGAACTTTTTCTTTCATGCATATGCAATATTTGAACATCTTGAGCGAGAAAGTTATGCACGTTGGATATCTTGAAACAAGACATAATACTTTTTTAGAAAGGTAAAGCTCTTGTTTATCGTATCCATATACTTGGAATCTTTTTCAAATATTTGTATTTATTGTTGAAGCAGATGTAACATGCTTCTGCTATAATGGAAATATGATTTTTTACATGTTTCAACCATTCATTGCGTGTACTTCATCTCAGTGTAAAACTATTAAAAATAAATATTTAGAATTTTAAACAAAAAGTCTAAGAGGATTTATTCTTTTGGAAATTTTCATACTTGATTAGAGTCTATCTTATACACAAAGTTCAAACTCAAAAGTAAGTGAGCAGTTAAAAGCGTTTCTTCTTAAGCGTATTTCACATGATTCTATCGAGCTGAAAGATGATAAATACACATGATTCATATAGTAAATGTCCCTAACTCTGTATGTCAAAAGAGAAGAAAATATTAATTTTGAATAGGGAGAAAACTTTTGTCGAGCACGAAACACTCGTAAGATATTGGAATAAAAGATCTATTTTCAAGAGGTTGCTATAGAAACATTTAACTATTTGATTTGTTATTTAAATGACAACTGATAGATACCATGGTCGAGATTAGCTACATTCACATGCTTCACTCAAATATGTGTGTAGCTTATCCTTGTCAATTTGAACCAATCAGCTTCTATTCCATGTTCACTCTTTTCTATCCAAGTTTGATGACAATTTGGACATGTGTGTGATGTACATCTAAGTCAAAAAACATAGTTCATTTGACTCAATAATTAAATATTTGAATGAAAAATAAAATTAAAGGTCAGTTTTATGAATAATTCTGGATATGGTTACAATAATAAAGAAAAGCATACTGTAAAATATATGGGTTTACTATTTGAAATAATATTTTTCGTATTAAATTTTTTTCTTTCGAATCTGAATCAAGTAATAATTCAACCCGTATTTTAGTAAGACTCAACTTTATCTATAAACGGAGACAACGCATATTTCAAATTGAATAAAAACATTAAGATTGCTGTGAGTTGTTTTCTTATTCAAAGTAGATATCAAGCTTCGAATGATATTCGAACTAGAAATTTTGTGACTTGAAATTTCAATTCAACGAACGCTGTGATTTCTTCAGGAAAATTGAAGATTTAATTGTATTTTTTAGAAAAAAGTTATTCAAAAAATCTAAAGAAGTCTTTGATGTTGAGACCAATTTTTTTATATGATGATTTGTTGACTTGAAGAACAATCAATACAAAAATACTATTTCAGTTTTCTTAATGATTTTCTTAATTGAGATACCATTATCATCAAATGGTAAAACATCACATTTCATTCTATAGATACAATTTTATTGAAATTGATAGTTGATAATAGGAATGAAAATTAATCGTCACAGTTGAAAATTGTTGAGATCTCGATCAGAGTTGGATAATTCAGATTAAAAACCTGTTAATTCAACTGAAGCCAGTTCATTGAAAGAAAATTTCGACTCAATCCATAGGTCCTGAAACTTTTCAGTCGATTCAGCTCAACTTAGTTCGTCAAATTCGTAAAAAAATGTTGCCAGTTCATTTTTATTCAATTTGCAAAGTCAATCGAGCAGAATCGATCGTTTTTTTTTATTGAATTATTCAGCTCTGATTCCAATAATTTTCAATCCTGAGATAAGAGGTCTCTTTGGTTGTGTATTGTACTATCTCGTTTTATATAACTATCTTGTGATGTTGAATCCTTTTTTTTTTCATTTTAATTCTTTCCCCTTAAAACTATATGCGTGAATTTTCATATCTCAATAGGCTTATCCATGTGCTGTTGTATTTTTTTTTCTCGTATAGTAATGATGATAGTCGATGACAGAAAAAACGATCAGGTGTAACACTTGTTCTTAGTGAATATAAGATAGCTGTCTATGCAAAAAAAAAGAAAAAGTATTGTATCAGTTAGATTCGTTTAATCTTCTGATACTTATTAAAGATCTTCGTGCCTTTGATCATCAACTTGCAATATTCTGTCGCTTTTTTAAAACAGTCACCTTCCAAAAACCCATGAGAAATGCTTATTGAGTAATTTCTTAGAAATTATTATTCTTAAATATATCAAGGCTCTAAAACCTGGCTTACACAAAAGTGAAAACCGCGTCTCAATATCTCTTCGCATTCGCGAGTTATTTGAAAATGAAAAAAAGTTAGGAAAAGATGTTCTAAAATCGGTTTGAAAATACTAAGCTAAGAGGGTAAATTATAGAATTTGGAATGTTGGTATATTTGTTGAACGTGTTAAAATGTAAACATCATTCCCTTCTAGATGCAAAAATAAAGAATCATCAAAACATATTTGTAAATTAAATCTAAATTTTGTTTTTCATATCAAATTGATGGATCAATTTTAATATTATATACATCAAAATGAACGAAATCAAACAGACTTTAATTTATTAAAATTCCTTAAAAACAGAGAATGAAATCAGGCAAACTAGATTATGAAAAAAAATAAGGATAGATGGAAATATAAATAAATGATTCAAGTCTTAAAAGAAATAACTTGTTCATCTTTATTTCCGAACATCACATAAATATTCTAAATTGCTGACAACAAACTATTTCAAACACTTTTTGTTGTGCTAAGAGAAAGATATTAAATCATAATTTGATGTGTACTCAAAATTGATTTAGAACACACAAAAAAAATATCGTTTTCGCATTTTCTTTCATATAATGTAAATCAATGGAAAATTGGTAGACGCTAAACTTGATTTTATTTTTATTCCATCTTTAAACCTTTCTAATTTCTTCTAGTATATCAATTGGAGCTACTGCTAGTCATCATATTGATATTACGACAAAACAAATTGCATATAAAAATCAAGATTTTGCTTTATTAAGATGTGAATGTAGTTTATCAAATGAATATTATCTTACAATTGGACTTTATGCTGTTGTTTGTGCATGTGCAATGTTAGGTAGAGTTAGTCGAGTGACTGTTTCTCTTATGTTGTTATGATGAATGAAGTTATTGATAGTTTATCTTATATTGTTTCCTTGTTAGTTTACATAACATTAACAACAATAAGTAGGTAGAAGTTACATTCGGGAAAGAATTTACGAGGAAAATAATTAAATTAAGTGGTTATTCATATTTAAATGATGATGAGAAATTAGAAGAAATAAAATTTTGTTTTATTTAGAAAATTATGAAACTTTTCGTTTTACTTTAAAAATTGATGAAGCAATACATTGTAATAATTTAAATGAAAATCTTCTGTTCGTATGTATATATCAAGACAGTACGACAATTCTACAAATTGATTCATTTATTCAATATCATTCACATTGATTTTATTCGGTTGTTATTAATGAACGCTTTCATGCTATTGTTAGACTACTTCAATAAAGAGATTTATTAGTTGCACTTAGATAAAAAAAAAATGGAAAATATTTAGAGAAACAAAACTATCATTTAATCGAAAAGTACCTGTTGTATCAATATCAAATTGAATGACAACTCTCAGAGAAGTTTTTTTTTCACTTTATTTTAATAAAATTCCCCAGCAAATTTTTTTAAAAAACATTTCCCAGCCAACATAGCTAAGATGTTTCGTTCTCTTCCTATTTCAGGGAATCGTCTTTTTTTTCGCTCTTTCGTTTTCATCGTATTCTCGTTCAAATGAATATATATAAGCGTGTACATATATTATATAGGCATTCGACCGGAAAGGAAAAAAAGAATCTTATCATATTGCTCATGATAAGGATCATCATGGATATGATGAAGGGTGTGGGTGTCAGTGTAAACGAAGGCGAGAATAACACCCACACCCACACCCTATTTTTGAAGTAGAATCCAACGTTGACCAGCAAAAGCTCGTTGTTTTGTTGGTAATGAATTGTTTTTAAATATGTCGATTAAATTTTTCTCATTTTTAATTAATAAAATGAGAAAAAGATCAACATTTTTAAATCATCATAAGATAATATAGATGATTCTTTCAAATGCTTTTCTATGTCATTTTTATTAGTCAACGATAAAACATATTTACGACGATCGTTTCATGAACCATTTGTTTTCAATAATTCATATTGATTTATTGAAGACATTATTTTTAATTGAGAGTCGAAACAACTGACTAAAAGCTAAACATATTCTTTTATACATACATAAAAAATTTCTATGAATTGCGAAAGACACTACAGTTGATGCAGTCGAAGTATGGCTCTCGTTCTTTCTTTCCCATGAAGAACAATGAATCAATGCTTATTTTTAGGTTTTTATTTGTTCTCGATATTTTCTTCTAGCCTAAAAAAAGATATTTATGATTAATAATGAGCAATGAATGTCCTTAGATAGCAATTCTATATTTTCGAATCAGACAGGTGAATAAGTTCATTAACATATGTAATTTTTCTTTTAAGGTCAATACATTCTTTTAAAAAATAGTAAGTAAAGAAATTGCAGCACTTCATTGAAATAAAAACAAACATTTGTCATTTTGATAAATGCGTTTATTGATATTAGAATTATTCATGGAAGAATAATATAACTATCTAAAGAGCTTCGAAGCTTCGAAATTTTCAATGTCGTGAAATAACAATTTTTAAATATCTTGTTTTTTTTTAGTTGAAGTTTTCACCGTTATTTTACTACTATGATAGTAGATATCAGTATTCTACCTAATGTATTCTTTATATCTCTTACAAGAAAAAAAAACCTATTTGAAAAGAATGTAGCTTTCAATAGTTAAACGACATAATTCTTTGAAATTTCATATTCTTTCCATTGATGAATTGAAAAGTTGAACTTAAGTAATACAGAGAAAAATATTTGTTTCTCTGTTTGCTATAAAACTAATCAGAATAAAAGTCATGTTCTATGATCTTTGTTAATAATATCCTATGAATAATTACAATTAAATATACAATGTGTTCCTGCTGGTAGAATTATCATTTCTTGTAATGTAGAATCTTGTACCAATCTTTTTTGTCAAAAAGTCTTCGCATGTGACTGAAGAGCATCTAGAACGTTGTATACAACGAATTATAGTCTCATGTAATTATTGCGTACCAATTAGTTTAAATGATAAAAGTGTAAGAAAGAATTTTTGTCGTTTCTCTGAAATGTATTGTCCATTTCAGAGTAAAGTGGTCGTGAGCATTTTTTGAATAACTTTTAATAGGAATGAGATAGAGATCTCGGGTTTTCACTGTGGGAAAGAGCAGATGAAGACGCATTGGATTATATACAGAAAGACTTTTCTAGTTACTCTCCTAAAGGTTTAGTCAAAAGGTTTCAAAGAATTGCTTTTTTCTCCTACGTTAAAAAAGTGGCTTTGCTATCAAAATCCTACAAAAATTTACATTTTTCGATTAGTTTGTTCAAAAAATCGAGGTCGTAAATTGTGTTCCGATGGTTTCAATATCATATTGGTAGTAGTAAGAAACAGCGTCTTGATATAGTTTTGTAGCCCTTCCTTTGGCGATTCCAGCACACTCCTGAAAATCAATAAATTACTATCGTGATCATGAGAAGCTTGCTATTTTTATTGAAGTTTCATATAAAACATGTAGAAAAGTAGCTAGAAAAGTCTTGTTGTATATAATTCGATGCATCTTCATCTGCTCTTTCCAACGGTGAAAATCTAAGATCTCTATCTCGTTCCTATCAAAAGTTACTCAAAAAATGCTCACGGCCACTTTACTCTGAAATGGACAATAATTTAACATACTTTTGTTTGCAATATACTGTTAAATCATCAGTTTATAGTTAACGATTTATTCATGCAATTAATCGTTCAAAACTAAATAAATCCCAAGAATGACATATAAACTAAATCAATAGTAAGTTCTTCCGCATATAAATACTTTTGCAATCAGGACGAGTGGTAATTATAATTGATGTATGTTCGAAACGTAACAAACGAACGTGTCCCGACACTACACAAATTAAACGTTTCTTAAGTTTGTATGCGATTTCAAACTGAAGGGCGTCGGTATGCGTTCCAAATGAAATTTAAAATATTAAATCTTGATTCGTTTCGGATTCGAAATATGTCAATTTTCGGTGCCAAAACTGAGCTGTTAGCTTTAAGGTTCCTTCAAATCTAGGTAGAACAGTCGAAAACGAAAAGGACCGATTTCACCTCTGGAGAATAGTTCCAAGTATTAGTGGTTAAAAATTTCAGTCGTAAGGAACCAGGATTTTTCAGAAGAGAAACTTCAAAACTCTATCTTTTATGCTAAAAATGTGATTGAAATCGAAGCTTGATCAATTGGACCGTCTTGGAGAACCAGAAGTGGTCAAAAGAAAGAAGAAGGGTACCCTTAATGTGATCTTCTAGCTAGAGAACATCAGGTTTGTGAAACTTATGTACAAATAGTTTTGTCCAGTAGCATGATATCTTTTTTAGAATTATTTTCGTATTTTATTGCTTTTAGATGGATTATTATCAGAAATATTTCAATGATCTTTTTCTCTTGTTTAAACGTTTCTACTATGAGCTTCTGTATATAGTATTCGAAAATTTCAATTCATTCCTTTGATATTTTGTATTCATCAAAGTTCAAAAACGAATGCAACTCTTCATTAAAATGGTGAACAAAGTTTCTCACTCTCCCGTATCTGAACTACTATACATAATAGGGGTCTGAACATTTGTGTGCAGATACTGCACTAAGAATTTAGTTAAGAAGCATGAGGTTGCTGGCAGAGCCTAAATACAATAAGATTTATGATGAAGGATGTCTATCTTTGCTTCAAGCTTTTAGCTCTCGTCTGTACCAATGCGATGATTATTCGGACGACATTTTCATTTAGTGAAAAGCTCTTTCATGAAAACCGAACTACAAACGAAAAATATATGTGCAAACTTCAGCTCAATTCACATAACTATTATCGAGCTATGGTTTCTAACGGCCAGCAGATAGTTTTTCTTCATCCAAATGGTCATGGAAAGATGACTACAGTTCTAGAAAGGGTTGAGGAGCTTCGTTGAAATTAATACAATAGATAATCAGAAACAAATTACTAAATAATGAAGAATGGGCTAACCCACAACGTTCTTCTTCTTCACAGCTATAAAGTTAAAAGAATAAATAGATGCAATCCATTACCATGCATCATAATTCTCATTCTACTAAAAGTGTCTCAGACGTACATTATTAGTGAAAAATGTGCACACAAATTATCTCACCTATAATATATGAACTAACATACCAATAATAAACTATGTTCTTTGCCCTACAACCAATAGCTCTTCTACAAATACAATACAAGAAATATATCTATTTGATGAGTTTTAGTTAAAATACATTATAATAACTCTCGATTCCTGACAAGAAAAAAAATCTTCGACAGAGTAAATCATATTTCTTTCACATATGTTTGAAATAGAATAGCAAATGAAATGAGACACATGGAAAGAAAAGTTAGTCCTTTCATTTATGTAAGCATGAGCATTTTTTTTTTTTCAGAATAAAAAGTCGTTTTAGTTAACATTAATTATTATATTCTAAATGAAATAAGAATATTTCATTATAGCATTGCTAATAAAAAACTTCTAAGAAAACAAAAGAAAATTATTTTTTTTCTATTAAATAGCTCTCTGCTGTATTTTCTTCTAGCATTAATTTTTTTAGACAACTGTCAATGTATATATAATAATCATGATTACCCGAAGTGTCAATATCTTTATCTAAGATCTTTATCATTTGTTTCCATACAAAACAGTTATTCGAAACATTTAAATAAATCATCAATTTTTGTTGTATTCAGTTGAAAATTTCATAATTCACCTGATGCTATTATGTACTTGATAATCCACTCTATTTTGTTTTTCAATTGAAAATCACATACTCAACAAGGTGCTGTAAATCAGTACACATATTCATGGTATATTAAACGATTACTTGTTCATTCAACCATTGATTAGGATCATACACATTAAAATAAAAGTCAAAAAGAAAACGAAAAACAAGTTTTTCATTGATTTGATTTGAACAAAACAAAAATGTACAAAAATTTATTGTCAAATAGAGACACACGCGCATGACAAGCTTTGCAGCTGCCTTAGAAATTTGTTTGATTTCAATGCCGACAACAGAGTGTTGATATGGTCACGCAGAGAGAACATAAAGACCAAAAAAAAAAAAAAAAGAAATGGCGATCATGCTTTTTATTCTCTTTGTTTTATTATAAGAAAAGCATTTGTATAGCGCGACGCGCATTTATATAAATTTTTTTTTCTCTTTAACAAAATTTGATTAGCCGTTTGTCGACTATTGACAAGATGTTTCAATGCACTTATCGTCAAGATCAAACGATCTAATTGAAATTTACAAGTTAAATTTCTATACATATTCTTCTTCCTAAAAGAAGACAAAAAGAAAAAAACCCAAACTGCTTTTTTTTTCTAATTTAGTTTTAAGGTGTGAGAAAAGATCATAATCAGATTGATGATCCAGTTGTTATTGAAAACAATTATGTGTTAATCCTGATTGGAAAAAAAAATACTGATGATAGTCATCTTGATTAGGATGCTAGTCATTGAAAATGGAGACATATATACAAATACATTTTCACTCATTCTGGTCTCATTTTAGACACACCAGGGTGCCTACCTATATGTTGTTGTTGTTGTTGTGCATACCGTTGCAAGGAATAGTCGTATTGGGTGATTAGTGTTCAAGTATGCATGAAAGAGGGACGAATGAATATGACAATAGTCTCTTCAAGCTTGCATCATTCACAAAAAGAAAAAAATTTTAGTACTTTTCTTTCGTTTTTTTCTTTCTTTTCAGGTGAGTGAACTGCTCAAATCACGCAAATTGTGTTCGCCTCTTTTTCGATTGGATGAGAAAATAAATGGATTTGAATGTAAAAGAGAAAGAATATATGTAAACGACGATAAAAAGAAACATATTAAAGGAAAAAGAATTCACCAATCAATCAGAAATATACAACCAATGAGAAATCAGTAGATATTTCTCCTTTTTTCTTCTCTTTTTTCTTTGCTACTACTAACAAAAAAAAAAAAAGACACAAATAGAAGTGCGCACGCATACGATTTGTGCATTATTCATTCGAACCAGCCAAGAGACCATTCATCGTTTTGCGTTACTTACTTTAGCCTCTTTTTTTTTCTTTTCCATCGTCATCTTTTTTACTTAACCCTGCTGTTGCTCCTTTCTCTTTTTTCTCGCTCGTGTGTTCGTTTTACTGACACGATAGTCTGCAGGTGGTTCTTCCCTTTTTTATTCCGACTATGCACGTATTACATTGGGGCATCAGCAAGTTAAGTAAAGATAAGACCATCATACAGGTAATTGGAAGTCATGATCAGTTCAATCGTAAAGATGTTCTTGTTGTCCAACTGGTGCCGAGACTTATTCTGTCAAGAGCTACTCTGAAGAAGCGCGACAGCTTATCTAATAGAATCACATCATGAGAGCGTTTTTTTGTGATTTCCAGATATAATGATCTCAAAATCTGAGAACAATGAATTAAAATTTTCTATTCGAAATTTAATTGAAACAACAACATCAAAATGTGAAAAAAAAGAAAATCCAATAATAAATCGTTCTTTAAAACGAATTGTTATTGGATCGGAATCATTATCATCATCATCATCATCATCATCATCATCAATTCCTCGTCCAATACCATTAGTTAAACCAAAAATTCCTCATCCATGTTGGTCATTTTTATCTCAATTAGCAAATAAAAATTCAAATGGAAATATTCCAATAAATTCTTCATTAATATTTCTAAGTAAAATGAATCAAGTTTGGCAACAAATGCAACGAACACAAATATCACCATCAATAACAACAATAACAAGTTCAACAACTGAAAATGATGATGTATCCGATGAAGACATTTATATGGATACATCATCATCATTGATACGTCGTCGTCGTTATACTGAACTTGATGATGATGATGACGATGATGATGAAGAAATAGTTGATGATGATGATGAAGAAGAAGAAGAAGAAGAAGAAGGTGAATGTTCAACTAGTACAGGTGATGATAAACATAATAGAACATTGAACAGTGAAGAAAATGATAAACTTAAAAATTATCCATGTACACAATGTGGCAAAGTAAAATTTCAATATTATTTTTTCATTCGTATTAAAATTTTATTCTTCTATTTTGTTTAGGTATTTACTGCTCAATACAATTTAGTTCGACATATGCCAGTACATACAGGCATTCGACCATTTGTTTGCAAGGTTTGCCAAAAAAACGAAAAGAAAATTTGAAATATTTATTTTCATTTTTTTTTTTGGTGTTTAGATATGTGGTAAAGGTTTTCGACAAGCATCAACACTCTGTCGTCATAAAATAATTCATACATCTGAAAAACCACATGCTTGTCGTATTTGTGGTAAAGCATTTAATCGTTCATCAACATTAAATACACATATGCGTATACATCAAAATTTTAAACCATGGGTATTTTTATATCGAAAATAAAATGAGAAAAAGTTCATTTATTTTTTGTTTGTTTTTGATTGTAGATTTGTGAATTTTGTGGCAAAGGTTTTCATCAAAAAGGTAATTGGAAAAATCATAAATTAACACATTCATCTATAAAACAGTATCAATGTTCAATATGTTCAAAAGTAAAGATTGCTAAATGTTTTTTTTCTTTCGTTTTCTGTATCTCGAATTTCTTTACCGTTAAATTTTAGGCATTTCATCAAATATATAATTTAAAATTTCATATGTATACACATTCAGAAATCAAACCATATTCATGTATGATATGTTCGAAAGGTTTTTGTCGAAATTTTGATTTAAAAAAACATATGAGAAATGTTCATGTAAGTAGTACAAGTACAAATACTAATGTAAAAATAAATACAAATCATTGTGGTGAAGATGATGATGATGATGATGAAGATTGTCATTGACAATATTTTTTTTTTCTTTTTTCATTTAATCTTGTTTCGTTTTTTTTTCTTTTTTTTGTATATGTATGTGTGTGTATTGATCACGAGAAAAAATAAATATATTTGCGTGTGTATATGTATTAATTGAAGTCACTTAACCAATTAATCGAGTCCGAACACGCGACAGACGAAACAAATGGTCGAATTGTTGCTTACATTCCATGCCTGCCGAGAGGAAACTGAAGCGATAATTAGGGAGGGTGGAGATTTCTTTTCCTACCATACGTTTTTTTTTCTAGTATTGTATTTTTAACAACTCATCCTTCCCCCCTTCAATTATTCAATGCATGTTTCTGTTGCTTGTTATATATGTTTTTTCCTTCTCAAATCATAGCGTCTGTTAAGAGAGAGAAAAAGAAGAGAAAAAAAAGAAGAAGAAGCCCGCAGGCTTAAAGTACATCCGTTCACTTCTTTTTTTCTTTTATGATAGGATAGGAATAGAATAAGACGTTTTTAAATGGAAAATGAACATATTAAAGGATGACACGTTGTTCGCGTGATAGAGGATTTGTTGTTTTTTTAATATCTATTAGTCATTTGGAATTAATATTTTGTTTCACGATAGAGAAGGCAGAGTTAAATATTCTTTTTACGAACGTCATATTAATTCTCCATTGCTAAACTTATTATTGAAGAAAAACAGGAAAAAAAATTCGAAAAATAACAACCACAAAAAAAAACTGTTAACAACTTGTCACTTAGTTCAGATCCCTACAGTCTATTTCGGTATGATCATCATTTGTTTCTTTCTGATCTTATTCTTTACAATCGTATAAGAGGTACTCATAATCGATGAGAATCAAAAAAGAAAAAGAAATCAGTTCCATATTGTACACCCATTCGACATTCTTTTCATTTCAACACAATTTTTAATAGGATCTTTTGCTTTGCCTCATTCCCACTTGACAACACTTAAAAACAAACGAGGACATCTCAAAATGTATGTATGCTTGATCATTAGTCAAAACGACGATACAAATTGGCTCCCTTGTGATTTTCATTATAACTAAAATTCAATTGGTCAATAAGTTCAACAACAAATAAAAAAAAAAAAAGAAAACGATAAATTTCTATTTATTTTATTTTATTTTTTTATTAAAAGCAAAATAAGTCCAAAATGTTTGAAATATTCTTCCAACAATTCTTTCTTCATCTGTTAATTGATGTGTTTTTCTTATATTTGAAAATTTTTGTACAACAAATGATATTAAAAAATATTCAATAATTTTTGCCGAAAAAACCCAAAGAAAAAATTGCCATAATGTTCTTGATATTGTACCTGATATAACATTATCTGTTGATGCTGCATCTTTTATTGATGATATTAAAACAACACGAAAAGCAACAAAAAATGTTTTAAAATTTTCTTCATTTGAAAAAAATAAACGACCAATTAATGTAAATATAAAATAATTTAAAAATGCAAAACATAATATTAATATAAAACCTTCAGCTGATTTATACATTGTTTCAGCAAGTAAATATGTTTTAGGATTAAATTTAAGTAAATAAAGTAATTTAAATATTGCAAATAAACATATTAAACCAATTAAATGATTTATTATTGTATTATTTATAATTAATACACGAAATGATACAAATAAATGATGAATATTTAATGATTGTATTAGATTATTTAATTGAAGTACATTTTGATCAAAATGAACTAATAAAAAATAATAACAACAAAGTATTAATAATATACCATCAATTATATTTGATAATGTACGAAGAAAAAAAACAAAACCATAAAAACCAAAATTTCGAGTATATTTTGCTAGATCGAATAATTTTGTTGTGAACTAAAGTATAAAATTTAGATTAATTTTCTATATAATGAAATAAAAACAATCATAAATTTAGATCTAATGATAGAACATTCCTATACGTGCCGATTCACTTCTGAATCAGGACTATAAGAATATTGCAGATGAATTATTGTGTTTTGATGGTATTTTCTTTTGAACTCCATACTGTAGTTCTCCTCAGAAAAGCAGAAGTTGGTCTTGAGGAAAACAGTTTATCATAAGTGGTTATTATTGCATTTTTTCTAAAATTTCACAGTAATGTATTTCTTATTGAATTCTTTCCCTAGGCAAAAATTTCCAACCGATATTCGAAATAAAGATGCACCAGGTAAAATAGGGTAAGAGCACGGAAATTTTTCTCAGCCAAGGTATACGATATGAACAAAGCTTATCCTCCACATCTGTAGTTCGAAACTCAATTTTTCTATTGTTACTGAAGAAGGCCATGGCATTGCATTAAAACAATACTATCAAAATGAAATAACTCAATACCATTAAGTTGTGGGCATAAACTTGTTTTCGGGTATTCATAGTTGAGTAAGACTGATATGATTCATGTAATCTAGAGACCTGCATGCGAGTCATTGTTTGGAGCAGTCAGAGCTCTCTATATAGCGAACCAGCAGATTAGATTGAACATTACAGGTTTTTTTGAATCGTGAGTTTTATTCTTAGATATTCATTGTAATAACTGATGTGTTTTGAAAGCTCGATCCATATCTTCTCAGAGCTTTCCCCAGGTCGGAAAAGTCGCAGTCAAGGTTAACTCCAAGTTCTTCGCATGAACGTAGGTCTCGAAGTGACATGTATGAACATGTCTTTGTAAACCTTTTGAAGATCATATACATTTGTTCACAAATCGACATAGTCAAGCGTCGTGGAATTTCTTTTTTTGACATTGACACCTTTATCTCATCAATACTCAATGTAAACTATCTGAAATTTTAATCATAAATATGGACTATTTAGATCCATGACCTATAGAATTTGATTGCTTTTTCTTTAGCCAGACTTGAGTCATTCGAAAGACATCGACTGCAGCGGACTTTAAAAAAACGCGATTTTTTTTTAGGGTAGAGTGAGAGTTTAGTATTTTACTACGGAATGAAGTGACATACAAATAAATGTTCTATATGACAGTTGTTGAGTTTTCCTAGTTGTATTCATTCTTTCTTTATTCCATGAAACACCTTGAATTATCAAACGGTGGAAGCATATAAGAGAAAATGCGTTTTCGAATTTTTTTAGCATACAAATATATTTATGATTAAACTTTATGACAATTTTTTTTTTTAAGAAACGACTTACAATTACAAATAATAGAACAGCAAATAAATAATTTGTCGCGACAAATTGTTTTTCAGCATCATTTTCATTTGTTGATATTTGTTCGGTATCATTTTGTTGAAATGTATTATCATCGATTGTTGCTAATGTGTAATCAGATACTTGAATAAAAGTATCTTTTTCAATCATTCCATATTGATTTTTCTCAATAATTAAAACAAATGAAATCATTGATGATGTTTGGGGAGAATATAAATTTCCTTCAATCATTACAACTAAAGTTTTTTCATCTAACCAATTATCTATAAATAGTTTTCGACAATGAAAATAAAAGAAAAACAAAAAACAAATCATTTTACATTTATTTAAATCATAATACTTTCTTTTACGATTACAACGTTCAACCTTGTATGAAAAAAATAAGATAAATTTTTTTTTTAAATTTAAACATACTGTTTCTTGTGGTAATAAATGTAACATAAAATACCATGGTGATTCATATGTTGTATAAAATTTTGTTATTTTTTTATAGGCTAACGCTGACCATATAGATGTATAATTACAAACATCTTTACATAAATTATTTAATATTGATAATTCTTCCCAACCAGAACATTTTCGCTGACCACCAATAACAAATTTTTTATCATTCATTAAATTTTTTCCACCAACAAAACAACTTGGTGGTATCGATGGATAGAATAAATTATTTATTTTTTCATGACAATCTTTACGTTCGACACGAATTTGACGTATACGAATACTTTTACTTAAATATAATGGTGAATCAGCTAGAGAATTACAAAATAAAATTTTATTAAAAATACAAAACACAAGATGACATACGAATTTGAACATAATTACAAGTATCTTTTTGACAAGAATAATCTTTATGTTCGAGAAAAAGACGGTTTTCAATAAAATAACTAATCCAATCCTAAACAATAAACATTTTTTTATTGAAAGTTTTTTTTTTTTCTTTTGAAGTATAGAATTAACCATAGTATCAGGTATATAATCAATATTTTGAAAAATATCTTCACGAAGAAGTAATTGTAATGTATATTGTCTCATTGTTAAACGTGTTTCAATATTTTGTGATCTAAAAAACAAATTCAAATTTCAAAAAGAACCCAATAACTAGAAACTAATATCCATTCAAACCGATTTGGATCTTTTTCGCTTAAATTAAGGAAAATGTTTGTATCTACTCAATCACGTGGCATAAGATTGAGGAAGTGATACTAGCGAATATAAAAAAAATTGGGATTTCGGCAACGTTGTTAACACTACATAGTAGAGTCAATAAAAAAAAATCTTGATGTTATTTTTCAGTTTTGTTATTATTAAACTAAATGGTTCATTGAATCCTTCTGCATTTGTTTATTAAAGGTAGACATCTTTCTATACAGATTATTGATATAAGTCATAATCCATGAGATAAGTTTGACATATTTAAATTCTATTATTGAGTTTAGGTTCATGTCTACCTAGTAAAATTATGGAACAAGACACAAAGAAATAAGTTTATGATAATGAAAAAAACATGTTTCTTCACATTTTTTGTAGGCATCAATAAGTCATTTGTTTTGTTCTTTCGAATTTAATTTAATCAACCTATAGAAAATTTTCTCCTGTCAAAGTAACTAAAAGGATGAAAACATCAAGATGACTTTACTCAAGTAAAAATAATGAGGTCATAGTGTCTATGTAGTTTGATGATTCTCAGCAGGTTGTCGAGAAAAGCATTGTGCTATAAATATATATATATGTAACAGAAATTTACTTGAATCACCTGCTGTAAACTATCGTCTTCGTATTCAGTCACACATAGCCGATGCCTGATTCAGTTCAAAGTTATACTCAGCAGATTTTCCTACATTAGTTGTCTGATGAGGAAATCTGTCCAGGTGTCAAATTGCTTTTTAACCGTATCGATCTTCATTTGATAAGTACTAGTGAGTAATAGAAAAGTCCTGAATGACTTGGTTTTCCGAGCCTTAGTTCTTCAGATACTGAAATTTTACTAGGTTTTTCAACAAAAACCTGTAATTATGTGGAAAATCGACTTTCAACTATAAACTTTGCAAGAAATAAAGTTCATAACGAGATTAGTTCATTGAGCAAATTGTAATTTTTCTAGTATCTTCTATCCAAAGATTTTCAATATTCCAGTAAAATTTCAATATAATTGATAACAATGGTGCGGAAAACCAAATCATGCTAGTTTTTTTTATTACACTCATCAAATGAACATCGTTTCGATCGAAAAACGATTTGACCCCTGAAGAAGTTCTCTTCTTAGTAGCAAAGCAAAGACTTATGCGTAGATCGAAAAGAATAAATACAAATGCTAAACAACACCTTACGTATTAGCAAAGACCATAATAATAATAACCATAAATACAATATAACCAATAACATCTCTAACAGCACGAATAATTGACGATTCAAGAAAACGTTCACGAATACGTTCACGTAATTGTACATCAGTTAATGTAATATCTCGATTAAGTGTAAATGTATGATTTAATTGATGTTGTTTAATATCAATCATAGATATAATTGGAATCTAAAGTAAGTAAAAATAATTGATTTGTTTTTTTTAAATTTTTATTTCAATATTATTTACTTGAACAACAGATGAAATAAATTTATCTTCGTCTGTTATATGAAAAAATGTTGCATTAAGTAATGATATAATTAAAATAATAATTATTTCAAATATTAATGTAAATAATATTGTTAATATATGTATAAATATAATTGCTGATGTTAAAAAATAATTTTCTATTTCTGTGAATGTTTTCATTGTTAAATACATACATATAATTGATAGTATACCAAGAATAATTGATATACTATAGAACATAATTAAATAGAATATGTACATATTAAATGTTGGTTGATCAGATTTTTTTGGCCTAAAATAATAGAATAATTATTGATAAGAAGAACAAAAAAAATTAAAGTTTAGTAAAAATTTAACCAATGAATTTTTATTTTAATTGTTGGTATGTTAATATTTTGTTGTTGTATATTTGATTGAGAACTTTCAGTTGATAATGAAAATTCATCATCATCAAATGGTTGATTTGGTTGTGAAAATTTTTTATTTGGATAGGGTATTGAAGTTGAACGATTTTTTGAATCAATTGATGTTTGTATTTTATTCATTTCGAGCTTTAAAAAAAATATATTTGAAAATTTTTTTATTTTTTATTATATTCAAATAAATACTTGTCGATTGTTTCTTATTGGAAAATATGAATTAATATTAGAATTTGATTGATATTGTTGAGTATTATAAGAATTATTATTTAATTCAATTTGACTATCTGATTGTGAACTAGTTTCTTCATTTTCTCCTAATGTACTAATACTAAAACGATGTTGTAAATCAAATTTATGAATATATTTAAATTGTTCAATATCTTGACGATATGAATTTAAATCTGCTATACTTGATGCCATTGTATATATCATTGAATGGATATTATTAAAATCTTCATAATGTTTTGTAGCTTTTGATGATTGTCGATAGAGATCAATACGATTTGTTAAACAGGTTAAACCCCATATAAATATCGGTGTAAGAATACCAATAAGTGAACTGAGAAATAGAGCAATGAAAAGTGATGGAAATAAATTGAGACGAATTATCTAAAATACACAAGGTTTAAAGTTTAGACTTATTAAACTATAGTACTAGTCTAAAATATAAGATCGACGCATTTTTAATTTTTTTTTTCTATGACACTCAGTATTAAAATCACATCGAAATAATTATTTCAATAGTCAATAAAGTTCTCTATTAAATATATTTCATACAGAAATTTCATAACTAGTTGAATTATCAGAAGTTTTTTAACAATACTATCTTATAGAGCACAAAATTTTGAATAAAATGAGGGATTGCCGTATTTCCTACGACCCTTCTCGTAAAAATTTATAAAGCATCACAAAAATGCGTTTTTTTAGCAATCCTACGATGAATTTCCCTTGTTGATGCTTGTAAATTTTTAAGCGAATGCTCAAGAAAATGCGTAGTAGTCTCTCATTTTATTTCAGATTAAGATATTACTCTTAAAAACTAATTTTTACGCAGTCTTCTTGAACCTGAAAAGTAGTTTGTTTGGTTTTTTAGATATCTTTCCTCATAGTTCATCTAGGAAATTTCTGTATGAAATACATTTGATAGAAAACTTCATGGACTATTTAAACCACTGTTTTGATATGAATTAAATGCTTGGCATTGTAGAAGAAAAAAAATCAAAAATACGTTGATCTTATATTTTTGACCAGTACTGTACAGATCATAATAGAACATGAAGTTTTTTCATAGGTTTTATATGATGAATTGAATCTTTTATTTCCTCTCAAAGTTCACTTGTATACATTTCGAATTGAAGACATTGGATTCGAGTCTAAGAAAACATTCGATGCATTCACTAACCTTAATCGGATTTCTTTCATTTCTTCTCGCTTCATTAAATAGATAGAAAAAATGAACCGAAATTTTCTCTACTATATTATCCGGATTTGATTATGACTATAAAGCAAAGAACTTGTCTCTCTGATTTTGTATTCAAATCCAAAAGGTTTAGTACAGCAAGATCGAATTTGTGTTGATATTATTCGAATCTAACAAGTTCTATACTTGACATTGATATCGTGCATTTGAATATTTTTAGTCAAGCCCTACTTAACTGTATTGATAGAAGAGTTCATAAGTTTTCAATTTGTATACATTGAAACCGGGAAACTTAAGCACCTCCGTCAGAATTATCGAAATCAGGAGAGATGCATGGAAAATTTGATTGCGGTTGAGTTATTAACAAATAAATATAATCTTTTATTCAGCACATCGGTTTTTTTTTCGAAAACTTTCGATGATTTTTTCTTCATCTTCTACTCGAAATACAAAGTTAAAATTTTTTAGCATAGCCTCTTCATTACAGCTCTAATGTATTTTGAATCTTTCATGGAATATAAATGCATTAAGTTCAAGATCGATTGTTGACGGAGAGAATCTTAACATCAATTAACTTTAGTAAATAAAATATAAGTTTTACTAAGTATAAATGAAATTACATGATAAATTTCCATCCAATCAGTTGCAACAAATGATTGATCAACTAGAAATAAAAATGATGGAAATATATATGCACATCGTTGATTCATTATTATATTTCGACATGATATAATAAGAATTTGAATAAAATAAAGTTGAATTATAATTAAACAAAAATAAATATGTAAACGATATATTCTTGATAATGTATTTATTTTTTGTTTATTAAATATTGAATTTAATAAATGATAATGATAATAAAGCCATGAATATGTTGAAAGAAATAAATGACCAAATGCATATTGATCAACTTCTTGTGCAACATAAAATATTTCATTAATCATATTGAAACCTTTACGTAATGATAACCATGTATAACAACAAAAATAATATGTTCGATGAGAATTATAATCATATAATATACAATGACGTATATAATAATCAGATTTAATATTTATTTCATCATGCCACATATTTAATGCAACAATGCGACCTAAATAGAAAATATCAAAATAATTTTAATGGTTGATCGACAAGGTTTCGGATAAGATGTTTGTTCACTTTTGACTAGTTAGCAAATTTTTTCCCAACGAGTCAAAAGCTATGAGTTAGGATGCTCGTTTCGAAATATGAACTTAAAAATTTCGGTTCAGTGAAAGAATCTTTGAAAAATTAAAAAAAAATAGTTTAAACGGAAAATTACAATAGTAAAAATACAACAATTTTTGTAGAAATTATTTCATTGAGATGAAAATTTATAAGCCCATCTTCTCCTAATTCATAGTTTTTTATACTTTCTAGTGGGTCAAAAATAAATAAACATTCGATCATCCGGTGTATATATATATATATATATGAATAACCTATATCGATAAAAGAAGTAATTAAAAATTGATTAACACTACCACGTTGAAACACATTTGATATATTTAAATTTAAACAATGTGATTCATCATGACATTTTTCACCAATTAAACGAATATAAATTTTAAAATCTTTTGATGTTGATTGTTGAAGACCAGTAAATATTGTTAATTGATAAAGATGAACATTAACAGCAGCTACTTGATTATCAGCAACAAAATATATAAAAGGTTTCTAGAAAATTGAACAAAATAAATGTTAATCAATTTGTTTTTGAAATACATACATAATCATCTAATGTATCTTTATAAATAGCATAGACACCAAGAAGAAGAGAAATAAAAAGTAGTAAAGAAAGATAAATGTAAAAATGAAGCCAAGTTTGAGCATTTAATTCAAATTCAACAAGAATTGGTTTTGGTTGACATAAAACTAGATATTTTGTTATAGGTTTTTGACAATAACATGTTAAATGAGCATTTGATAATAATAAATGACTACTTAATTGAGTTTTATTGTCATTAATCAATTGACATATATTATCTTGTAACTAAAAATTGAAAGAAAAAAACAAATTAGTTCTAAATGATTTTCTCTTTTTTAAGGTTCACATTCATTTTATGTTTCTTATAAAAATGATGATGATAAAACATAAATATATTTACTAAACTTGAGATTTACTCGAGTTGTTGTAAGACTTGATATGTGGTGTTTCAGTCATTTTATATATTGAAAAAATGCCTGTATGTATAGAAAAATATCTTATGTTAGATTTTGAACTCTTTGGTAACGGAGACCACATTTGTTCACACTGAGCTTTTAGAACGACTATAACTTTTACAATCTTCTCTCGCTCTCTTGCGCTTTTAGTGTCACAGCATCAGTATATAATATCACTTCACATGTATATCAAGTGAAAAAGAAGGAGCTGCGGATTTAGAAATTCATAGACTCTCTATACGTAACATCGCTCAAAGCTCTGTGAAAGCTAACAGAAATTCGTAAAATTGCTTAGAAATGCATTGTTGCTCTAGAAAAGCGCAGTTACTGTTGAAGCTCTTATCTTACGAAAGACCAGACGTTTAATTCTATTTGATCTACGTTATGATATGACAGTGCATGGTTATTCTTACTACATCTATTTTCACTTGTGTCCATAAATTAAACATTCATTTTGTCTGACTCCCCCCTTCTCTCCTTGCCCGCCATAAACAATCATAGATACTAGAAATTGAAGTTTTTGATTACGGATTAGTATACCTTTGTATAATAATTTTCATCAATACTTCCATTAAATGAATAACAACCTGTTTCAACAACAAGAAAATGTCCTGTTCGTTTTAAATTTCGAATAGATACATCTTTCGACGTAATTTCAACTTGTGCACATACAATTGACATTGATTTAATTGGTATTGAATAAACAAAATAATTATTTTGCCATAAATCAATATTAATTATATAATTAAGATATTTGTCATTAATTATTTTTGATTTTAAACATGAATTATTATAAGCTATATAAATTGTAAATAAATATTGTTGAGAATTTGGTAAATTAAAAAAAATTAATGAAATATTACGAGCTAATTTTGTTGTATTCATATGAAATGAAAATTTATGTGAATAATGATTTTTTTTAATATGAATTAATAAGATTTTTGAAAAATATTCTTGTAATATATTCGATGTATTTAAATATGTTTGCTCAAGAGAAAATGATATATATGATGAATAATTTAATGTTAAATTATTATTTGATTCAATTGATAATAATTGACCAAGAAGATAATCTTCAGATATTGTTTTAGAAGTTTTAAGATAAACTGGAATATATTCTTGAGGATAATATAATATACCCAAAGGGTTTGTCATAACATGTAATTGATCTAAAATTAATTTATCTTTTTTTTTCTTATAGCATGAAACTCAAGAAATATAAAAGGAAAATATTTATATATTTGTTGTTTTTTTAAGAGTTGGACAAAGTCAAATCAACTGAGTTCATTGAAGAAAAACTTCAACTCAAGTCATCAATTGAACAGAGTTGGCCATTTTTAAATGGAATGGTACATAGGTAATCTAAAGAAATTCGGCAAATAATGTTACACAACTTGACACAGAAAGAAATGAATTTCACTATTCATGACCCAAGTTTATAGTATTATACACTGAGATATTAAGAACATCGGTGAATTAGTTGGATATGAACTATTGCAGACAAACAGGATATGCCCATGTCTTATTTTGACTTAGTATCTTAACAAGAGTTATTCTTCTGAATAAATTCTTTTAGCGTAGACATTTGTAAAAATGTGAGCTCTTTCAGTTGACTATTAATTCAAACCAATCAATAAAACAATAATTAATTATGAAATGATTAACGAATATTTCTCTAATCATAAGAGAAAAGATCCGAAAATCTCAGGATAGACTCTACGCCACGAATTGCCTCTATAATGAAATCTTCAGCAACATTAAACTCTGAAAAAATTCTTCTTAAAAATCGTGCGCATCATGTAAATACTCAAAAGTTATTCACGATAGCATTATACGAATATAAAAACTAAATATAGAACTATGGGTTTGATTTAAACAGTTATCGACAAGGAACCTAATGATATATTGCAAAAGTAAATATGTATTCTTTCGCTAACATTAATAGAAATTTAATTTTTAAATTGAATTGAAATGGGTTACTCAGCTCTATTTTTTTCTATGATCGATCAATGATCGTTTTTTTTAGGAATTTTTGAAGAACTTATTTTCTATTGCCTTTACTTATATGTTGCAATTATTTGATTGTTCATATGTTATGATTATGAAAGCATAATGATGATTTACCAAATTTTAGAACCCAACGTTTTGTAATAAATGGTGCTGTCATATTAATAATAAAATCAAGTGGACCATTATCGATTTGTTGCATTCGTCTATTAGAATGTCCATTTAATGTTAATTCAGTATGAATCATAATAAGAATTCGACTAATAATTTGATTAAATTCAAATAAACTATTTGTATCAACTATTGTTGATATTGGTATTGATTTTGGATCAATTACATATATACGTAAATTTATACAAAGATCAAATAATTTTGTAAGAAATGAAGGTGATGTGTCAGGTAAAGCAATGGACATAAATTTCATTAAATGTCTAGTTGATTGAACAATTCAAATAAAATAAGAATAAAAGATTTTTCTTTTTTTTCATACCGAAATAGATGATACGTTTGATAAGTGATTATTTTAGGTCGTGAAGACAATTGAATTAACAAAGAAAGATAATCATTAAGATAAATATTGCCTGGTTCAGGATAGACTATTTGATATTTGAATAAATGTGTTGAAATCTAGAAAATGGAAAGTAACTCTTTTTTCATGTGTTGAAATTCTTTGGACAATTTGCTGTGACTATTGAAATGAGTAACACGACTATTTCATGCAAAACAGATGCTCTTGTCATATTCAGGAAGGGGGAGGACTTGCAGTGAAAATGAGAATATCACGAAAATATCGCGGGAGCAATAATTGTAGATTTATTTTAAATGAGAATCAAAAGTAATGAGATTAAAGTAAAATATTATGCATATTATCCATTTTGTATTTGATTTCTTTATGAATAAGTATAGTTTTTTTTTCTTCTAGCTATTGAATTGATGCTTTTGTATAACGTTCTCAATCGGATAGTATGCAGATTCAATAACTTGTTGTCTTTATTATTTATAAATCTATTATTCGATTAGGCTCATTTTTTCTAATAAAAATTGGTCAACTTCGTATCCTGCTTCAATGAGGTTAGATTTGAGAAAATTTTAGAGAAAACTGCATCTACCATTAAAAAAATTAATTTTCTTTAGTAATAATTGAAGTTTCTTTTTAGTACGTCAAAGCAGATCTATGCTTACTGAAGACAGTCATGAATTAGTTGCATCTTAATTTAGCTTATTTAAATACTTATTAAGTGTTTTCCAGTTGAAAGAAGTTCTATTTAGAAAAAAAAAGATCTTACGAGGAAAAAAAATACCCAAATATAAATCGTCGATCGAGCTAATAATTTATGCATAAGTGAAATCTAATGAGATTTTTTAGAAGCCAGAAAGGATATATCCTCGTAAGCTGGTACTGAAAACTCTATTGGTAGTGTTTAGATCTCACATTTTACCGATAGATTTTGTTTTGGATACTCAATATCTCTTTAAGAATACATTTTTATTTGAACTGAAATTTTTAGAACACTCTAAAGATCATGAGATAAATTTCAGATAGAAATATTGTCATTCGACACTTTCATAAAAATCTTCCCTGAAGAAAAGAAAATCCATAAATATGGTAATAAATCAGGAGGGACAGCACATAGGAAGGAACCCTTTCTAGATTTTTACTAGTTTCTCAGGACTTGGTCTATCAACAAAATATCAAGTCAATGAGAAATTCAGACGTTGGGGAACTTTCTGTCATTAGGCACATAAAAATTATTTTTGATGAAGACTTCATAATTAGACTTTCGATTGAAATATGACTAGAGTAATTTAGTCATTAAAATTCATGTTTTTTTTTAGAAGTTCCTATAAAAATGTATAAAACAAGATATAGATATTGCGTTATAAAGATTCTACTCTTAGTGTTTTCTAAATACTGATTCACATTGAAACACTCTTAATTACTTTTCAACAAGAATTATTAAATAATACTAACAGTTGAATAGATTTTTTGTGAAAAATCTATTGCTTTGATGTAAAGTAATTCTTTATCAATATAATTTAAAATTAAACGATAATAATTAATGATACTAATTAAAAATGATGTTTGATTAAGACCAACTAAATAAAAACGTGGATTAGTTTCATTGCTTAAAAGATAAAAATCATTTTCATAGATTTTTAAATATTGATTCATTAATTGAAATGCCTTTAGAAAAAAAAAAACAACAGCAAAGTTTTATTGAAAAAACAAGTAACTTCTTCAAAAATATTCTTTACACTAGAAAAATAATTCCATTCTAAAGCTATATTCATTTTTATAATCAATTTATGAGTTAGATTCATCGTCAATAATTCAAAATGTTGAAGTTTTCCAAATAATGGTGAACTTATTTCTAATATGATTTTTTCACCATGTGGAATGCCATTGATTCGCATTCGAATTATTGAATTAAATATTTCATTAGTAACATATAATGGATTAAGTAAAATACGAACTTCTTCGTGGTCTTAATTAATAAAGAAATAAAAAATAAAAAGCTTCTCACCAAAGTCTCTTTGAGGCGCAAATGTGGAACTCACATGTGTTCCTTAGCGTAGAGTACGGCAAGCGTTAGGATATTTTTCTCAGTCTGTGGACAGTGTAGCAAAAAAAAAAGCTTACTTTACATATATCTACTTTAGCTTCATTATACTAACGCAAAATAGGCAAATTGAAACCTCTTTAGCAGACTAAAGTTCTTTTCGTAGGATAATCAATCGTCAGAAGAAACTATCTAACTTATTTATTTCTGCAATTCAAACAGAAATTTTTTCTTTTTTTATTGACACTTTCTTATTTGCCTCTTTTGTTTTTCATTTTCGTACGCCGTTTTTATTAATTTAACATTAGTACTATTCTACCCATTGGTGTACCTGACAAATAATCTTATTGTACAAATTTATTATCTCTACAGCAGGTCCTCAACGTATTATTATATATTTCGATAAGTTCCAAAATATCAACATGAATTATTTCTCAAAGTTATAACTTAATCGCTCTACGCTTTTTTATGTTAACCATATGATGACTATGGTAAATCAACGGTCTTGAAATGTTCTAAGTCTCGTTCTTAATGCTGCTCAATCGTGTTTCGATTTCTAAGGAACTCTGAAAAAAGACTATGACGTCTGTTGTCATCGATTGCTCTGAAAACTTATCCCATGATTGTTGGCCATCTCTTCTGTTGTTATGGGGATGTAGAAGACTGCAAAACTTCACTATCTTGTTTTTTCGAAAAAACATAATGTGAGTTCCACCAAAGAAAAAAGATTTCTTTTTTCATCAATACTCACTTAATTCAGTTATAGCCCAAATAATAATATCTGCGCGTGTACTAAAATTATTACATTCAAGAATAATTTCGTCATGATATGGATAAATTATCATTGGATTAATTGAACAAGAAAATGTTCGAGAATTATTAATACGATTTATTAAATGAAATTTTGCTTTGACTACTAATCTTTTGTTTTTATCGTTAATACAAGTGAAAGATATTGGTGGAAGTCTATTAAATATTTGAATTCTAAATAATGCAATATCACGTGATAATTTTGTATAAAAATAAATAATCGAATGATTTAGTTTATTATAAGTTTCATTAAAATTACACTTTACGCAAAATAATATTAATTCTATATTTGATGTTGATATATAATAATCTGTATGATTTGGTGATTGCTGAACACAATTATTTCGACATGTGAGATGACATAGATGAATTTGATCAGTTATGATTTGATAATAGCGAATAATTGAATTTTCACTATTAATATTCGATTTAATTTCAATCATATGATCATATCTATTTGTTAGATGACTTGCATATATTTTATCATAGTTTTCAGTAATATGGCTAGTCCTAATTGAAAAAGAGAATATAAAATTGTAGTTTCTGGTTAAAAGAATTTTTGCAAACACTTTCAATCTGAAAATTTATATTCTTCGATTGTCTATAAAACATATTAGAATTATAGAACACAATCTAAAAATGGCTAATATCGAAAGTTTCACAAATTTATTTGATTATTATCAACTCTATTTACTTTAGATACCGCTGTTATTCTCAAACACGACATATTGTTACCGATTCAAAATCTCCAGACTTTTCATTTTTTTTTGCTTCAATTATGGACGCTTTGAAGCCTGCTCTATCATTTGGACATATTTTATGAAGTGATATACCACTGGAGTTGCCGCCTCTTCCGTTCTTCGCGAAAAAATTTGCTTTTGCACATAAAACGCTTAAGTTTATTCTGTATTGAAAAATTTCAGATAATAAAATCTGTTTATATTAAGTAACTTGTGATAACTATCGTCTATAGTCTATTATTGCCTATATAATTCATTATTTTTTTTTTCAGCGAACAAAACCAATGTCGAAGATTCTTGTTGTCGGAATCAAGACATTTGTCGAATGAGACTTTACAATTGTATGTCAGTAAATTTAATAGGTACAGAAATACAAATTCGTGGAAATACTTCATTGTTGTCTCAAAATGAACTGCTAACTGAAAACTATTTGTAACTACGTTCAAAAAAAAAATCATGTGTCTAATAAAATATTCATTTTCTTTATATATTATTTATTGTGCTTTAGAACTTTGAGAATAAAGAAGTGCTATAGAAACAAGCAACAAGTTATTTATACTCATAGAAATGTGAAGAGTCGACAAAAAAACCTTTTTGCATTGTTTCCACTTTTCTGACTTGAAGAGATGGCACGTCTGTATACAATTTTTAATATTAAAGTATGAGCGAAAATGGAAAATGAAAAAGAAACAAATAGATAATCGTCTCCATTTCTAAAGCATAGTACATTCGATCGAGCTGAAAACTTTTTCTATTAATACTAGAAAATGATTAGGACGCCTGATTTTTTTCTTTCTTATAAAATATAGTCCACTACTGGTTTTCTTCAGAGTGTCTACAAAGAAAGTTCTAGTCAAAAAAAACATGTGCATTTTTGAGGATGATTTCAAGATTTTTTATGATTTTTTTCTCGAATACAAAAAAAAATAAAAGTAAACGAAAAGAACATGAGATAGTAGGTTTCAATTTACAGGAAATATAACTGAAATGACTATGAAAAAAATTGCATGAACATTTAATTTCATGCTTTTAGAAATAAAAGTAGAAAATTCTATTTTCATACAAAATAAATATAGAAATGAAATGAATACTGTTGCAGAAGGATTAGGAAGAGTATGAGAGTAGGCTGTGTGCAGATGAAGATAAGAACTGTATCAACACCTTTATATCAATTTTATGCAACTACTCTATAGCGCAAGTTATCAATGCTTATATTCAATGTACTTAATGAAGCGTATGCAAATACTTAATAGTAACATGACTCAACTCGAATCCAAAGGTATGTACTTCATGTCTATATACTTTTCACAATAAACTGAATTTCTTATTATGAGTCAGCGTATAACGAGAAGTTTTATCCCTTCCAATGAATGTATAAAAACGAGTTTTAGCTGTACATCATGGGCATTTAATCTGCACTGTTGTAGCAGTATTCTTTAACTTGTATCATTTATTCCTGAATATTGGAATTTAACATGACTTCCAAATGAAGTAGCTCTCTCAAGCAATATTTAGTATCTGTAAAAACATTGTTTAGCTCTGCAAAACGTATTGTAGCTGAGAAACAATCGCTATAAAAGCAGGGTCATTTTTAACCCTAATGACTTGAGTATTTCCTACAAAGAAGAATTCATGAATTTTTAGTCGTGGAAATATTTTGCTCTACTTATCAAGGGTCTATCTTACCGATTTTACTCATGAATCGTTCTTTAGAAACTTCGCGATGGATTAGGCGACACGAGGACTTAAAAATAATATTAATAATAACAACTGCTTTTTTTTCATTCAAGAAAAAATGTTGATTAATACCGAAAAATTAAATCTTGTCCAACAAGAAGACTGCACGAAAAATAGGAAACAAGATATTTATTAGATCTCACAGAGTATTCACTAGAAAATATCATAATTTTACCATTCATTATTTGGTAAGTCTTTTGAAAGACGTATAAATCCAACAAATGTTATATTATCACCTTTAATTGGTATAAATAAACGTAAATATTCGTCTAATACATGTCTGAAATAAAAAAACATCATTAAAAAAATAATTCACATTTATTCTAAAATCAATTGAATACCGATAAAGAGTAAAGATACATTGATTAGCATTTGTTTTGGAATATTTACATAAAATAATATCTATACGAAATGTTGTTATTACAGATTGATTTTTGAAATAATCCTGTGTACATAAAAGAAATTGTCTTGATGTTATTAAATTTTTATTAATACATGTTGCATTACGATAAAATTCATTATCAGATAATGAAATATTATTTTCAATGGTTGCCTAAATATTTTATTTTAAATTATTTCTTTTATAGTTTGTTCAAAGTTTTTTCAATAATACTTTTTCATAAATACGATCAATAAAATTTGTTGGTTTTATCCTTTGTTCATATGAAATTCGATGAGAAAAAACTGATGGATCACTGATACTTATATTAATTGTATCACTTTCATAAAATGTCATATTCGTTAAACTCGATTTGTCTATTCGTATTTCTGTCATCTGTAAATAACATGTGTATTTATGTAAATCACATTTATGTGACATTAATTGAAAATGAAAAGCTGATAGATAAGTTTTACTAGAAATAAAGCCATCAAAATAAATTAATGGTGGTTGTAAACATTGAAAAGTTGTTACAAAAAAGTCTAAATATGAATATATCTATTAAATAAAACAAAATATAAAACTTGTTTCATACATAGTGTGAATTGTTGAACAACAGTATTATTATATAGTTGTTGTCCTTCAATGAATTGAACTCCAGCATCACTAATTTTTACATCAAATTCAACCTAATGATGCATAATAAAAGAAATTATCAGATTTATTGATATACAATCATTTCGTTTTTATTATTATCATTTTACTCTAAAAAAAACTCATTGCAATGATTATGAACAAACTCGACATCAATTGAATTTGACTTAAATTATAGCTTCGTACCTTCTCTTGAAATACCTGATCAGACTAAACTATTCATCATCCGTACTATATCAGTAAATTCCTGAAATGATTTATCAATTCAATAAGAATGTTAAAATCATCGATCAATGTTCAATACTTGGACAGTTATGAATAAAGAATCATTTATATTCAAATCTATTATAGTTCGAAAACAATAGCTTGGACAACAGATATTGATAACTAGATTCTTTGAACCCAAAACCGCCCAAGCCGAACCATACTCATTATCTCAAAGAAATTTTTTAGCTTTATAAGGAAAGTCTTCTAACTGACAAATAATTTTTGAATCGACATTATGTGCATTATATGGCTCCAAATGAGCTATACATCCCCTAAAGCAATTCGTGATCTGAATTTGTTACTGGAGAGATACTGAATTTTTTGCAGTATTTTATAAATAAATGCCGTAGTAACAGAAAAGCTGATTTTCGAATTTCAACTTGACACTTTGCATAGAGACCGGTTTTAACGAGATTAATTTCACATCTTTTGATTTAGCTCTATCATGAAATAAGAACATAAAATCTCCCAGCTTATGTGAGCGATATAAAAGACAGACAATTATCATAGTTTTATCTTTGAATACATTCACAAAACTATTCTCATCAATATTTGCCACTATGCAAAGTGTCAAGTTCAAATACAAAAAATGAGTCTTTCTGATGTTTTTGAAGGGATCACATCATTCATTTAAAAAACACCATAAAAGTGAAGTATCTTCGAAGCAATAAACTAATGGCAAAAACTCTCTTGATGGTATTCATAGTTCATTTGGATCTAAATAATGTGCATAGTCTCAACTCAAAAGCGGTTTATCAGTTAGAAAACTTCTCTCGTTAATCTGATAGTCACTCACAAGATACGAAATACTTTTTATCAATTATCTGTATTCTGATACTAACACAATCCTTCAAATGTCTCAGAAAGTCTTGACGATAATCTTATAATAATCAAGTTATAAGTGACTGTTACT